TTAGATCGTGGCTTGATCAAAGCGGACCAACTAACGCGATTCAAAAGTTAAACTCGTGACCACCACGTCCGTCCAAACAATGCCTATGCAACCATCTCCGGTTCCTTTTGAATTAGGGCGCTTTTATCTGCCCAATTTGCCTAGACTGGCTTCTTTAGCATCGGATGCCCCATCTCCTAATGCAAGGTGTCGGAGATCATGAAGCCTTATGGCGGACTGTCCCGCCAGTCTAGTCTCATGCTAGGGAGGGCTATCATTCCAATCTGTTCAATGTGGTCTTAATGTCCTCCAAACTTCCATCATAAGATATCTACATAGTAGTAACGGTCCTGATCTATTGTACGAGATCACGTACCGTCTGTCCCAACAGGCTGGTCACTATGGGGGAAGATCAAGGGCAGTTCCCCAGGATTTGAAACGCACAGATCAAGAGATTACTTTGCGCTTATCAGAGGAACGCTGTTGAGTTGTTGGTGGCGGCGCCGTCTCTCGGGACCAACAATGTGGCTTATTGCAACTTGACTGCCATGTGATTGATTGACTTGGAACAACCCTCCTTCAAGTACGTGACAGTAGGTTGCGCGGCATTAACGGACAACCCTGCTCCCACACCTTCCTACGGAGAAAGTCAAGCTCCCTTACGAGAGGAGGCATCCAACCGGGCAACACTAGCGAGCCATCGCACATGTTGTCTCCAACCAACCAACAAAACTCGGTGGCAGTGTGTAGACACTCGCACGGCTACTATTGTCTGTCAGAGCTCTGTATCAATAGCGGCTGAACTTTAAATGGAAATTGATTCTCAATATCATCTGGCTACACCACCATGGAACGTTCCTCCACCGTTCTACCAGACCGCCTAGTATAAGGTGATAAACCAAATGCTCAACATACATTTGCATATACCTTGCGCTAATGTTGACCAGATCATGGACTGTTTCAAGTGTAACATGTGATGAATATGCATAGCAACACACCTCGCCATGTAGCCAATTGTATTCTGAAGAGTGATTCACTTAAGTAGTCTTGCATAAGGCGGCTACAAGCTTGCAGAGGATGGGGTGCAGGCCAACAGACGTATCACATTCACTTCAGGGCAGGATCGCCAGCCGGGGTCTCGTACGGGCGCCGCGGTGATTGAACAATGAAAAAGCTCGTAGCAAGCCCTATTGGACACGTATGGCCAACACGAACTCCGACATTGCAGCAACCCCCGTAAAACGAGCCCGCTCCTCTCGTCATACCCAGGAAATCCCTTCATTCTTGTTAGGAGATTTCGAACCAGCCCTTACCCAAGGCGATAGCCGTCAACGGTTATGATAACGTGGCCCGAGCTTGTCAAATGAAGGAAATGCTCCGATGTAACTTGATTGCCTCCGCTGTCTCATCGGTATTATGCTTGCATTCTACATGCGACGCAGCCATTGGCGGTGTGCCAGCCGAAAGGGCTTCGCTTCACCTCCTCTACAAACCTCCCACGGCATCTCCCCTTCCGTCTCCGTTCCATGTTGTTAGGATCTGCCCGGTTTCTGCCACCAGAGTGCCATTTACGGCCCACCTGGACAATCCTCTCGGCATATTGGATGACCCTTGTTTGCTGCCCATGGCCCATGATAGGTACACACTGATTTTAATTGGCTTGGCCAGTGGGCCGGGGATAGAGACGGCAGGGTTTCAGATGTCTCCGTGGTATCTGGCAAGTATGAGCCTCTGCCCTTTGTAAGTACTAGAAACCTAGTAATTAATAGTAGAAGGCCTTCCAGTCTCAACCCATTTTATTGGTTGAGTGATCCAGATAATTGGTGAGACTTGTTGGGATGCTGATATTTCCAATGGAAAGAAACGGGGTGGACAACGTTGAGGGGAGGATAAGCCGAAATGAAGAAAATAGTAATACATGGCTCCATTATTTACCGCGTGATCATGACGGTAGATGAAATCTACTTATACCGGGATGGGTGAGAAGACTTCACGTCCAAGTGGGCATGCGAGGTAACTGACCTGTTAATTACTCCGCAACAATTGTTTGAGTGATCTGAATTTGGGCCTGAAACCATGCCGGAAGGAAACCACGCGCCGAAGCCCACAAATAGCCTCGTGTATTCACGAGAGGTAAGATGCCCGACAACGTGGAAGCTCACCATGATTGGGGGCGGCCTCGCCATCTGCAGATCGCGGGGGCTTGTCAACGGAGTTGACAAAGACGTTGTATCTTTCGTATCGTGTGCCTATTTAGGTATGCACCATTAGGATATAGTAGCAGCGAGAATGGGCAGCATGACTTTAGAGGGTAGCATTCAGCATCGCATCCAGCGATTACTCGACTGGGATATCCCGGCACAGATGCAGGTTGGAGAGTATAGGTGTGCTCCAAGATGATCCACGTGGCGATACAGGCCGATGGCTGTCCTTATTATAGGTCAATGGTTCCTGGCGATGGTCATTGGCTGCTTCGTTTATCAACAGAGGCGTATAAAGCAAGAAAGAGACACAGTAGGAATCAAGCCCAGGCCTACACCGAGGCATTACCTGAGGATAACGGCGAGAATTCGTCTGCCTGATTTAATGCAGGGTTTTTGCTGCACCTGTTTATGTACGAGGCAGGTGGTATATCCAGCAACCGTCATCGTTTTCGTTTTCCTGCATTGGACTCTAATCTGCGCCATGAGAAGGATGACGGGGCGTCTGCTCCTTGCCCAGGCCCAACGCATGGCAGATGGGATGTGCGCGTGGCGGATGAATATTTCTTCTAGAAGCAACGTGCGAATATCAAAACAGGCTCCATGAGGCCTTACCCTACCCTGCCGGAGGTTACGATGGAGGTGGGTGAGTGCTGAGGATGCAGGGCGAGAACGGCGACGGTCCAGGACGGGGTTAGTGATTGGCTATGCGAGTGCCACCCAGCGAGGATGGGACGAAAGCATGGATGTATGCCGTATGCATGACAGTGTCATCGACAGCCGGATTCGAGTCCGACAAGCGGTTTGTTGCCTTTGGTTCGCGCTGGGCCAGGAATTCAAAGCGGTCAGATGCAACCTGAGTGGTCACTTTGTGGAATCGTTCCTAGATTGGATGGCACTGTAAGTGTCCATCTTTCTCGGAACACGCCCGTGGCGAATGTTCGGTAAGCGCTAGGTGGAAAGTACCTGCCCCAACAGCCGAGACACCCTCGTGCGCAAAGACTAGGCGCTCTTGGCACTAACCTAAACAGCTGCCTGGGGCTAACCTGCATTGCACCTGCCGTCCGAGCTCTGGTCGCACCGCGCGTGCATCCTGTCCATTTAAAACATGTACTGTATTAGCAGGACAGCGCGGCACGTCCCCGCCAATGCAGTTGGCAAGGTACATGCGAGCTAAGCAATCAGTAAGAGCTACCAGCTAACCCGCCTCAGACGGGGCTGGGAATTCTTCCGAGCAAGCCCACCAACCAACGAGCCGCAGCACCAACTGCTCACCATCTCAGCTGAGCAGTCTATTCTTATCAACCAAAATCGGCGTAGTCAATTGTCTCGCGCTGATGTCAGTTGGTTGGTGCGACGAGCTGACTGCGCCGCGACTTACAAGAGCCAACAGCCTCAGCGACGACGCATCAACCAACATCAACACGCAATTGAGACAACAGACCAACGCCATGACCCCTCTTCTTCCCTTCTTCTCCTCCTCACCTTACAGCCAATCGCGGTTCTACTTCTCACTACAACGCTAACGCTCACGAGAACCACCCATAGATGCAGAGTACTCCTTCGAAAGCTCCTTCGACCTTTCGTTGCGCTATGACGACGAAGCATGGCATGGGGACTGCCAGGAGCCGCATCCTAGTAAGCTATTGATCAAGTCACGACCCAACTGGGGGTGGGGGACCGGGACACACGTTGTGCCAAGGCCTTAACTGGCTATGCCCACCGAGATCAACAGTGTTTCAGTCCATCACCTTGGAATATTGGGCTTTATTGGAATCCTTTCACCGGGTCATCGTGACCAATCGCCACACTGCCCAAATTCGCTCCCAAGAATTTCACCACCGGCATAGTTGTGAGGTCATGCCCCATATATGCTATCAGCTCTGTGGACATACGACTGTCTCAATTCTCCTTTCCTACGCAGTTGATTGATCAGCGCCCCCTCGACAACCCTTGCCATGGCGTTCCCGATTCTATCATCAAAGGAGTAGCCTGCATTTGTCTACCTGATACCTGGCTTCCCGTCCGCTGGTCTCGATTAGGAAATTTGCCGCGTATGGTGGCACTGGCCGATGTTGGGACGATATGCATATTACTAAATGCTACGACGACCAACGTGGTGCCCCATTTCTGGCTCTACACCTCACTTAATGACAGCTCTATTAACAATCTACTTAGTAACACGCCAAACGGCACGACTTGGCCCCCTAATTTTAAGATCCGGTGTGCTATCCCCCAGGTCCCAGGATCGCTGCTGCAATGTCTCGGCCCACGACCCTGGCAGGCCAAGGATCCTCTCTCCACTCGCAAAGGCAAGGGGTCGCACCACGCCGGTCATCCCGTCTTGCTACGAGCATGTTGATCCTTCTCCTGTATCAACTGACATTCTGATTTCTCTCCTCTCATTGCTCCCCGCGCAGGAGTCTAGCGCTCGGTTCGTAAATACATAGAAAAGCTCCCAAGATCCACTATACACGCCCATGTGTGAATAAGACGGCGTGGCACTAATAATACCTACCTCATGCCATCCATGTTCTCGGATGTTGTTCATGTAATGCCAGTAATAGATGTTCACTCCGCCGCCCACTTGCTTCAAAACCCCCCCTCCCCCCAAGGAAAACGCCTGTAGTGTAACGCTTCTAGAAGGTCGATTTCCCAACCGTCGAATAAATCCCATGGGGGGATTATAATAATACGGCCGCCCAAGACGACGACGAAGCGGAAGAGGGTATCGAGCAGTCGAATGCTGCTACGACAACGGGCGACAGCAGCAAATCGGCAAGGACGACGGGCTTGAATTGTAGGAGATCAGGTTCAAAGATGCGGATAATCGGGCGAGCTTCATGGCTTGCCGCCAGCGTTTTCCTGGTGGCTTCCACGCTTTTCACGACTGCTGCTTCGGCAGATCTCACACTGGCTGATGTATTAAAGGCATTGCCAAGCTGCTCGGTACGAATGAAATCCTTCAACCGGCCAGGGATCGAAGTTGGCTTGGACAAAGCATCACATTGGCTAACATGGTTTCAACCGATTTACAGTACGATTGCCTTACTCTATTAACTGAGGGCTCTGACTGTGCCACGGGCAATATGACATGCTATTGCGCGAGTCCAAACTTTGACGACACAGCAACAGCATGCGTTGAATCAAATTGCAAGCTTGCCAAAGAAATCCTAAGTAAGAACGGCCTTCAGCCTCTCCAACATCTCGCCGGAAATAGGCGTCTAACAAACATGTGGCAACAGCGGTCAAGAACGTTACGCAAGTAGCCTGCAAACGCGAGGTACGAGACAACACCAAAAAGTTCCCGACTGTCGCCATCGTATTCTCCATTCTGTCCGGCATCTTCGTGATACAGCGGTTCGCTGTCAAGATATACGCCAGCAACCTGAGCCTCGGCCTCGACGACTGGATCACCCTGCTGGCCGCTCTGATCCAGGCACCCGGAGCTGCCATCGCATGCGAGGGTGGGCGCCGCACCGGCTTCGGCAGGGACATTTGGACGCTTCAATACGACCAGATCACCGACTTCGGCTACTACCTCTACATCTACTCGACCATCTACTTCTTCAACGTCTCGGTGTGCAAACTGGCCTTCCTCTTCTTCTACCTTCGGGTCTTCCCCGCCCCCAGGGTGCGCCGTGCTCTCTGGGGCACCATCATCTTCGTTCTCACCTTCGGCCTCGTCTTTTTGTTCGTGTCCATCTTCCAGTGCAAGCCAGTCTCGTACTACTGGCATCGCTGGGACAAGGAGCATGTGGGGACGTGTATCAATGCCAGCGCCGTGGCATGGGCGAATTCGGGTATCAGCATTGGTCTCGACTTCTTCATGATCGGCATTCCGTTGTCGCAAATCAACTCGCTCAACCTGGACTGGAAGAAGAAGATTGGCGTTGGCGCCATGTTTTGCGTCGGTCTCTTGTGAGTTACTCTCTGCCATCCTACGACTTGGGCGCATATACCAGGAGTATTGTGTTGGTGCGCAGTCTTGAGCTTGAACTAACATTCTTCCTTTTAGTGTAACCATCATCAGTATAATCCGCCTTGAGAATCTGATTGTCCACGGTTGGGAGTCGCCCAACGCCACCTATGAAAAGGTCGACGTCGCCGTCTGGTCCACCATCGAGATCAACGTCGGCATCATCTGCGCATGCATGCCCTCTCTCCGGAGTCTCATCGTCCGCACGTTCCCCCGCCTCCACATCTGGCCCTCGGAGCCTGGCACGCGGCAGGACTTCACGGAGCGGAATCTCGGCTTCGGGACCACCAGTCGAAGCATGGCTGAGAAGCATCCGGACATGCCGCTTCCCACGAGGCCCGGCGCCATCGCCCTGCACATGACGTATGCCGTCGAGTTCGGCGCACGAGACAGCGAGAGCATGGATGAGCAAAGATTAATGCAGATGCGGGACCTAGATACCAACGGCTCAACGGCTTCGCCATCGAGATCACCCTCTGACAAGTTGAGGGGGTACTAGACGATAACGAATTCATCATTAAGCCTTGTTTCATTTACTCTTCTTGTTACATAATTTTCTTCTTCTATATTTTCATTCTGTAAAAGGGATCTTTGGGCGTTCTTGAAGTTGTGGGCGGCCAGGCTTTCTCCTTTTGCATTGTTTAAGAAGCAGACGAGAGCGATCTATTCTGATATTTGATTCCCCATCGGATAATGAGGAGTCAGGACGGGGGTACATGTGTGTACACTCATCATCCAAACCCCGTATATTGATATATTATGTACGCGAGGAACAACAGGGCCGTGGGGAAGAAAGACGGACCTGTCACAAAAGAAACATACAATATCCAATATCCAATTATTGCTTCATTCTATTTGTGTCCGGTAGCGAATGACTGTATAGGCTAGTACGGTAATTGCCATAGCCAATTCGAACTTGTCCCCAGGAGTCGAGGAGGGGGCTCAATCCTCTGGCCCAAGATCACCAAGCTTTTCCAAAAGTTTGTTAATCATTGGGTTAGCAGGCTTCGTCTTGGAATCAGGTGCGACTCCAACCGGTTGGACCTTTTTAATCAAATCCGCAACCGAAACAGTGGCCTTTGAGGTGAGCTTTGCCCAGTCCGTAGCGTTGAAGAACATGGTCCTCAACTCCCAGCCGATAGGGTTTATCATTGCCCCCGGATGCCTGCAAAAAGCCTCATATATGACCTTGATACCCAAAAGTTTGCAGTCGTCTTTGTGACCTTTGTTTCTCCAACCGGTCACCTGACAGTCCTAGAAGGGGGGCAAATCAGTCGGGAAGTGATCTTGGTGACGTTGAGTTCATCTTCTTGCTCTACTTGGAAAACTTACCTTGCTACAATACCAAAACATGCCACATCGTGCACACTTGGAGAGCACCGGAGAACTTTTTTCAACTTGCTTGTTGCATCCGTGACAGATTCTCATGTCTCGTCTTATGTTCGAATAGATGTTTACCTTGCAGCTGAGCTTCAAGATCTCGGGCCAGGTCACCCCGGATATCACCTGTAATATCATTTTAGGTCATGATACACATACTCCATTCTTTCGAATTTGCAGGGCAGAGTTAATTGGGGCCAGTCATACGAAGAAACATACCTTGATCATCTGATTTGTGGAAGACACTCCCTCCTTTCCATCTTCTAAGGTGGTTCTCGCGGCATAAGGTATCAGGACGAGAGACAATGGGGCAATGTCCCGTGCATCCTCCACATTTATACTTACGTTGTTCAAGCTGACATAAACTGCCTTTGCTCTCTTGTCACGGACCAGAAGCCTCTCCGCCACTACATCCAAACCGACGAGGCTTGCTATGAAGATCCAGTGCTTCTTTGGTCGGTGATACAAGTTGAAATAGTCTGATACCTTGTCCTCATCATCTTCAGGCAATTGCGTGTAGCTGGGGAAGAGCTCGTCATTTCGAAGGTCGTGGCATGTTTCTGGTATCTCGGCTTCCCTGAGGGTCTCCTCCCACCTAAAAAGCCAAGCCATTTTCTGGCAGTAGGTAAGAGTTTCCAATCTCAGCATAATGCCGGGATCTTGTCTAAATTCTTCGTGCAGGCGGTCATGGAGGGCCATCAAATGCCCTTGGTGGAAGTCGTCGCATTCCCATCCAATGAGTCTGGCGTTTATCTTCAATATCTTGGCGGCAAATACATGTGCTCGCATGATATCATCATCCTGCACGAACCTGTCGAAAAGCCTGCGATAAAGAAGAAGCAGGCTCTTATCAACAATACACTCAAAGTAGCAAGACTGCGCCATGTGCCCGATGCAGTGCGTCAATGCCAGGCTGGAAACATCGTCTCGGCCAAATGCTGTTTCCCAGAGCTGGTCCAACTGCCACCTCTGGTCCTCGGCGGGCAAATGGAGCTCGTCCGGCAGTGTGCAATCCTCGCAGCGACACGGGTAACCGAATCTTTCCACATGATTTTCCAGCCGACTACGGTACCGGCCGCCACCAGCCAGTTTGAAGAATTTTATCTCCTCACCCTCCTTGATAAGCTCACAGGCGCGAAGGGCAAGCTTCCAACCCTTTCTGCGTCGGGAGTTCCCCGTCGTCTTGTTTGTTGGGAGAACCGCAATAACGCTGTTGGGGCTACAGCTGTTGGACGCCAGTGAAAGCAGAGGGAAGATGCAGGCGTATTCTGGACTGTGTCGAAGCACGGAGGCATGGGCAACATACCGTCCGTAGTATTCATCGTAGTCGTACAATCGATTGTGCTCAAGGGTGAAGAAGACCTCACGCTCCCTTTCGGGAAGGGCATCAATACGTTCTTTGATCAGTGCCGAGGACTCCGGGCCACTTCCCAGACCCGAGGGGAAAATTGCAAGTCCGGGATCCGTGAGAATACACTGGCCAGGCTTGATCTTGGTCCTGGCTACCATGTGGTAGGCTCCATCCGCGTCAGTTCGGATAGAAACTATGCTGCCATTATCCCGGTTTTTCACCCGGACGTCGAGCATGGCCGGCGAATGTAATGGGACTTGGTAAAAGCAGTAGTAATAGTAATAGTAATATGATTGCTGACAGCGGCTTGGCTTGCTGGAGATCCCGTAATCTCGGTGGCTAACAGTGCGATACTAATTGGTCAATCTGTGTGGTTAACGGTGTTGGAAAAACAATGTTGTTGGCCACGGAGGCAGAACGGTAGCTGCAATGCCACACCTTCTTCCAACTTGACAACGGAAGGAAGGGTCTGGATGCCGATGGGAAAGAATCGCGCTGGGTACAAGGCACCTCAAAAGATACAGTTTAAAGCTTGGAAAGGAAGCAAGCATGGATCAAGAGCATCGTATGTGCCAAATATTCATGTTTGTAATTCATGCAGTACCTACCTCCTACCAACTATTTAGTAGCAGGTGCCTCCCGCGCTTTCAGTTAGATACAAGGCAGTTCCTCTATTATTAGACGCCGCCGTTTCCTACCTACAATACGAAAATACACTTGCACAAGACGAGATATGTTGGTAGAGAAATTCATGTACGTTTCTGTTTACATGCTATGTATTCAAATAAAACAACTGCATGGCCTGTACTTTCGGTTCGCGTTCGAATTCGCCGTCTATCATTTGTTTTGAATCTCGTCTACTTCCTTCCACAGTTGTCATCAAAGTCGTTATGGTAGGGCAGGGGCTATAATGAATTGTTGTTGTCGTCGTGACGACCAAAACCAAGGGACGGGCCATGTCTGCTTTCCAATGAGACAGAAAGGCAGACAAAGAGCGCGAACGCCGGTCCCTGACTCCTTCGGATCGCCTCCTTTACCCAACTTGCATGCTCAGTTCAAACTTGATACAATCCACTCGGTCTCATAGCACGGCCTTTTCAGGAATGTGCCCTTCCACCGAGCTCAGTGCCGCAAGGTTGACCTCCCCGAGTTGCATTCCCTCCTCGGAGCCAGCAAGAAGCGCCACACATTCAATCACATCTTCAGGCTCTAGCAAGTGCCATCTTGCTAGTGTGACTTTGGTGCTGGCCCCAACAGTGACGGTAAAAACGTGATCTGGGTCAAGAACAGGCCCAGAAAATCCGTTGAGGCTCCGGAACATGTCTTCATCTGTGAAGTCATCTCCCATGCAGAGAGCAAATTCTACCTTTCCAGACTCCTTGTCTTCGGAAGAAGTGCCTGGGCTATGGTACGTCTGCACAAGCCGCTTGATAATCTCACCCTTATTGATGAAGGTTGGGCGGACTTCGACATTTGCCTTTCCAGGCATTACCTCCACGTCCCAATGACGGGCCACCCCCGCTGAGAGCTCCTTTTCGCATTCCCTGGACAGCTGAAGACCTAGCTCTGGATCAGCAAGGCGATAATGCCAAGTGAGCGCGCACCGTTTACGCTCGATGAAGGAACCTAGATTACTCGACGATTAGCTCATCCCCCAATACTCATTTCATATGTGACTTCCATGCATTCGGTGCTAAGCCATGCTCCAGATACGAAGTTGGGTATAGTAGGATTTGGGCAATCTCACCAGTAGCCATATCGGTGTACTTCTGGAACACCTTCAACACTTCCTCTTGCCATGCCATGTCAAACTTCTCAGCCAAGTTCTCCCACTCGTCTGATCCAGGACTCTTCATGAAACTTCCATGTTCAGCGGAGAAACCCATTTTCTGGATATGTCCCAGGTGGTGCTTCAAGAAATCTTGGTCCCGGCCAGAGATAATCCACACGGCATTCTTCGGATCATCGGCGAGGACCCTTAGGGCATTGATGATACGCTCTGAGGGTACTGCGGCGCTTGGCTCGCTAACAATTGGGGTCAGTGTACCATCGTAGTCAAACATAAAGAGGCGCTTGCCTGCCGATCTGTATCGGGAGAGCATAAGGGCACGGTCCAGCAACGGTGTCGCGTTGACGAGGTTAGAGTCGCCGAGCACTGTGTAAACCTTGCGGACGAATTTCGTGATCCAAGATTGCACATTGTGACTCGTTACATGGCGGTACAGGCTGTTCTGCATAGCCATCCTCTTTTCATCTGACATGGTCAGTGCAAGATGAATCTTTTCAGCGACACCGCTAAGATCCCAAGGGTTGATGTGGATGGCATCACCCAGGCTGCCAGCAGTCCCACTGAATTCCGACAGAATCAAGGGGCCATGAAGATCTTTTTGGCAAATGATGTACTCAAGACTAGTGGTATTCATGCCGTCACGAACTGACGTGATGAGCCCAATGTCACCTGCACGAAGCAAAGCGAAGTATTCGTCCTGGTCAAGGTATTGTGGGTAATGCTGAACTGGGGAGAACCCCAGGCTGCCATACTGACCATTGATCTTCATGACCAATTCGTTGACTCGACTTGCAATCTTGTTCTCGGCATCCTCCTTTTCCGCCTCGACAGTGGTAGGAGTGGTGACCTGGATAAGGACTACCTGCTCGCGCCATTCTGGGTATAACTCGAGAAAGCGCTCGAAAGCCTGGAGCTTCTGGGCGACTCCCCGAACACTGTCCAGCCGATCCCGACCGACAATAATCTTCTTGCCCTCGTACATCTTCTTCAGCGTGTTATACTTTTCAGTGACGCTATCAACCCAGGCATACGACTCAACCTTGGCGGCATCAACGCCGATGGGGAAAACACCAACTTGCACTCTAGTCCCATAGGCATCGATACCAAGGGTGTCCGATGGGAATCCGAGAATTCGTGTGCAACAACTGAGGAAATGGCGAGAGTAGCTGTAGGACTGGAAGCCAATGAGGTTGGCTCCAAGCACACCCTCGAGAACTTCCTTTCGTCGCGGAAGACAACGCAGGAACTCGCTGCTGGGGAATGGCGAATGCAGATAGAAGGAAATGTACATGTTGGGCACCCGCTGGCGTAGCATGCTTGGGAGGAGCATTAGGTAGTAGTCGTGAACAATGACAATATCGCCTGGCTTGTAAATCTCAATAATTCTGTTGGCGAATTTTTGGTTCATGCGGTAATAGTCGGCCCATTGAACACGTTCCTTGCGGCCGTCTGAGGGTTCGTGCTGTTTGTAGTGAAAGAGTGTGTAGAGATCGTGCTCGGCATACCTCCTCCATCTTGCCTGGTCCTTCAGGGTGATGCCTTCGTTGTTGACCTCATTCTCATCCGACAACCAGACAGGGACTGTGCGGATGCTCTTGCTATGGGAGAGCTGATACTCGAGGCGCTGTTGGTCTTCGCGGGGCACCCAGAGGCCGTCGATCGGAGGGGGGGTAGGAAGGCGGGAGTTACCATCGACGGGGACGGGCGCAGAGAGCGCATTGAGCGACGAGACACCAACGGTGGTGGAGGAGGTGGGTGCTTCAGGGGGTGAGGACGGCAGGTCTTGAGGAAAATCGATCTCGCCCGTCCATGCGACGACGGTATGGTGCCAGGGAGTAGCGTCGGAGGAGAGATGGGCGAATGAATCGTAGAGAGCAGATTGACCACGGCGGGCTTTCAGGTCCTACGGGGCAGGAAGGCAGACAAATATCAGCAACGGTCAATGTGCATGCTGGCATGCACGCAAAAGTGACGTTTATGTGATGCGCCGTGAAGTGAGTGAGTGCATGGTGGGGTTCGTTGCTCATGTCAAGGAAGAGGGGCAGAGGAGGGGCGGTAGAGTGCCTTGGAGAAAACATACCCAGTGGCCGCCTTTGCAGTAATTGAGAGCATGGGGGGTAGTGAATGTTGCGGAAATGATATTGCCGCTGAGAGAGAGATCGGGATTCGCGGCGCGAATGTCGGAGAGAGACTCGCGGCGAGCCAAGGCTGCTGCCATTGCGGGAACTTGACGCTCACCCAGGTTGGAGGAATTGGCTGGACCTGGTGAGATGATGGGATCGGCTGCGGAGAAATAGCTGGGTCGGGCAAGATCGCTGGGGCTTGTGGAGGGGAAGTAGGTGGAGAGGTCAATGCCCGGAGTGACTGCTTCAAGACGTCGCCTCGTGAACGGCGAGGAAAGCGTCGAGTCGGAGATGCTGTTGTGTGTGGTGGGAAGCTCGACGAGGTGGTTGTGACGTCTTTGCTGCTGGTTCGGTTCGTGCTGGCTGCTGTTGAGCCGCTGAGGTTGGCCTGGATCGGAGTCCATTTTAGCACACAAGCTCTGCCCACTCACGAAAAGAAGCGCTAAAAAAAGGTAGACTAGCTCGAAACAAAAGCGAGCTCGAAGGACCTGTCAAAGGCCGATGGTGGGGGCGGGGTGGCAGAGGGAAGAGAGTGATGAGGCAAGGCAGGCGATGAGCACGGAGGGAGGTGATGAGTAGCGAGCGAGGGAATAAATAAAGGAATCTCGTGCAAGATCCATGAAACAATAGTGACGGCAGCGAGGCATTAGACCAAGGCCCGGTCTACAAAGACCGCGGGCCAACTCCATGTCATCATCGAGATTGCTGAGAGCCCAGTCCCGTAGCTGATCGTGGTGGACGTCAATACAAGGCGCTGTAGCCTGTCGCCAGCAGCATGTGGGCGCTGTATGCTGGCTGGTGGTGGGGCGGACAGGGCGCTCTGCTCCTGGCCAGCGGTGCCAAGGAGCAAAGCAACCGCGAGCAGGAAGCAAAATCAATGCTCACTGTGGGCTCAGTCTCCCGATCCACGGCTCTAAATAAGGTGGTGCTGATTGGCCAGTCAGCAGCCGCCAGTAGCCACTGTCCGCGCCAAACGGAAAGGCCCTTCTGCCCAGGCACTAGCTGATGAATTATGAATAAGGAGAGAAGGTGGGAAATAAATCATTGTGAGGGCAGGCAAGCGAGGCGAATGTCTCAGGGGCGAAATATCCGGCAAACTAGCAAAGAGAAAGTAAAGCGGAAGGAAATGGCGAGGTCATACCTGGGCTAGCTTGTATGAACAGCACTAATATGCTGCTCTGGTGTACAGAGAGAGTGGTGAGTGGTACACAGGCGAGCTTGTGCAAGGAAGAATAAGTGCTGGTCTTGTTTGGGACTGGGCTAGGCTGGCTTGCTTGTGTTGCAAGAATCAACGAATGATGGGTAACGAGGATGGAGGACGGGATGGGAAGCTTCTTAAGAAAAACGCCCAATTGCTACACCGTCCCATGAAAGCCAAGTGCGGCAGCTATTCAATTCAGGTCCAGCCCTCCGGTAGTAGTCCACGGCTGGGGATGATAGCGGCTTCGCTTGGGTCGAACCGTCAGTTTGGCTTGGCCGGCAGCAACGTCCCCCTGTTCAGTCAAAGCGGTATGTTATTTAAGGTACTGAGGAATCCCGACTCGTGGAATCTCGATAGCATTTCTTTCAAGGACGGTGAGATCTGGAACCACGATGCCATGCACCCATCAGCCATCACCCGGTGCCTCCCTCGCTTTGAGTTATTTTCACAGACGGGATGCCTCGTTAGCCACCGAACAGACCCGAATCAGCCACGGTTTCGATGCAATGCATACCGACGGAGCATATGCATCCCTCAGTCTCTCGACCTCTGGCCTCCTTCACATGGTGGGGTTGCCGTCCGTTGATTGGCATTCTCACCTCTTGTCACCATAGCCGGATTCAGGGACCGGTGCACCGTCCTGCAGAAGCGAGGCGCTACTATCACCGGGTGCCAGCTACCTGGCCATTTATTGTTCGTTAGTTTGATAACCTCATCTGGTTGGCCCCAACCCGCTCCAGACATACCGCCTGTACATAAAGCCCCGACAGATAACAGCACGTCGCATACATACATGTGACTGTGCCTACGTTCCAACTGCTCATGTCACATACCATACAGCCAACGCCCACTCACACTCACACTCACCCTCACCTTTGCTTGCCTTCCTTCTCGTCCCGGCTACTCCTCCCACCTGCATGCATCCGGCCGGTTGTGGTATCTTGTCGCAGCTTGCAACCTGTCTCCCTCCCGGTTCCCTTCCCGTCCCTCCCCTCTCTAAACCTTTCATAAAACACTCACTAGGTACGCGCTCTATCTATTCAAATAACCATTGGGAAAGGGGGTGTCGTTCCCCATGCATGCTTTTGAATAAACCCACCCAGACGTCCATGGGTTGTTAACTACCGTAATCAACTCATAGCTTGACGTCGTCGATCAAGGGAAAAATACTAGCAAGGGGGAAGGGGAACCACGTCGTCCACGGGGTTGGGAGGCAACAAACCGCAACATGGCGGCATCGGTACAACGACCACGACAAATACCCGCACTTGACACAATCTCGTGGACTCGGGAATAGAGAATGCAGGTTGCCCAATCGCGACGTCTCTTTCCAAGACTCAATGCATCCCGTGTGGCATCGCATGATGGATATTGGATGATCAGACCGACTTGTTGTCTTCTCGCTGCAGTCGGTCCCCACTACTTTAGCAAAGCACTTACTAAAAAATGAAACCAGAGCTCCCTCTGTGCCAGGATCCCGCCGCTCTCCCGCCACGACCACCATGCCTATGTAGTACTTACCACGAGGTGACCGCAAGTAATGTCACCCTGCGTGGGCCAGGTAGGGGATGCTGCCGTAGGTCAATGGCTCCGTAACCCGTTCCAGCACCAACTACCACCCAAGGCACACTGGCAAGTAAGTTGGTAGCCCACTGGCTGTCACGGCCTCATCATGTGCTGTGTCACGTGACACCGCGACACTCGACTGGCCCCACGTCCGCCGAGCGTCAAAACTTCATCGGCTTCTCCTCGGGGCCTTCGCATCAACATCGGCTCGACGATTAGCCATCGCGACTCCTACCTGCATAGCGCCGGGACCTGCATCTCGCCCATCATGTCAGACTCTCCACCTCAGTCGCCTTCGCAGCAACATGCCAATGTCCACGCCTATGCCAGCAATGGCCTCGAGATGCTACAAGCCGCCAGCGATGCCGCCCAGCAAGCTCTCACCACCCAGCAAACACAGGCGCTGCAAAATGCGACTGCCGAATCCGTTGCGCAACCCAATGTGAGCACCGCCGCCGCCGCCGTGGCCGCTGCCGCATCTTCGGCCGTCAACCCATACCCTCAACACCACAGTGCCGACCTGTCCTCCGTCCAGCTTGTCCAGGGCGCAGGCCTCGTCGGAAATGGCGCTGCCATGATGCGCGACCCTACGGTTAACCCCAAGCTCACACGACTTCGACGCGCCTGCGACATGTGTAGTATGCGCAAGGTGAAATGCGACGATACCAATATCCCATGCAAGCCCTGCCGGGATCTTGGCGTGGATTGTACGTACCACCGCGAAACGAAGCGACGCGGCCCCCCAAATAAGCATGCCGAAGCTGCCAAAGCCGCAAAGCGAACTCGGATCGAACCATTGCCTCCGGTCTTCCCATCGTCTCCTGCGCCGTCCAATGCAGCAAAGACTTTGCTCACTTTCTCGAACGAGGGTGTGTTGGACGCTGAAAGCATCGCTCCTATGCCTGTGCTAGAGCTACTCGTCGATGACTTCTTCACTTTCATACACCCACTCGCTCCCTTCCCACACGAACCCACCTTCCGCCAATCCTTTGCCAATCGAGAAGATCGCACAAGACCCGAGTTTCTCAGTCTGCTTGCCAGCATGATTGCAGCCCTTGTGGCCTCATTTCCTCGATGTGTGCGAGAACATCTCAAAGCGCAACACAGTACACATCTCTTTCCTAAATCCATTGTGATGATTGAGAGGTGCTGTGAAATTGCTCTTCAAGCGCGAGGCAGTCAATGGCCATTGAAGCAACCAAAGACTCTCGACGATGCTTCTACAAGCTACTTTCTTGGTTTATCATATGCCTACACGCATCAACACAATGCTTCGCGCCACTTCATGTCCGAGACCCTCACGTTGATTCGAGAGCTTGGGTTCACGCGACCAAAGATTGCGGGCGAACCTCCAACCTTCGGAAATGACCCCTACTCGCCCGATCCCCTCCCATTCAACCATGTTAAGGATCAGATTGGGAAACGGTTGTTCTGGTGCTTGCTCTTGGGCATTCGGTAAGTCGAGCATGCTCTACTTTCACACCCTACTCATTAAGTTCAGCACTCTAACTCAGAGATAGTTCATTCTCTCAGCTTGGAGGGATTGGAGGATCACAGTCCGATACGGTCATAGCGCCATCCACCCCAAGTCTGCCATATCCTACGTACCCAGAAAACATTGACGACATTTATATTGTTGCCAATCAGATCAACGATCAATCGGAGGGCAGTGTTTCACTACTCACAGGGTTCAGATTTGGGATTGACATTTACACAACAATGAACGGGGTGGTTAGTCTCGAGCTGGCTTACGGCATGAGCACCTTACCATGGTCCGACCAAAGAATGCTTCTGCGAGAGGGCCTTCTTGCTGTGAAGAGCATTATTGGCAATTTGCCGCCCGAGCTTCAACTGGGCGCACCCGGCGAAGTCGATCCAATGGAGGCTTTCGAGGATTCAACAGTACAGTATGTACCACCTCTGTGGCCTAATGCTCAGCCTCCCCACGACATAAGAATTGCATTCAAAACCCAACCGCACCGACGCCGTCAATTACAGTATGAGATTCAGAAAGCCAACATTTTCGTGTCCGAACTAGCAACCCGGTCATATTTTGTTGAGCTCTATTTTGACCTGCGTGATGTACACCTCGCTGATCACCAAAATACTGTGACGCCTCAGACTCAGGAGGAGAAGGAGGCGGAAGAGAATGAGGACAAACAAATCTTTGAATTAATGTCAACCGAACGGGAATTGATCGTGCAAGACCTGTTGACTGTATTAGGCTCAATCTCCCAACGCAATCTTGAGCCTAATGGAGGCTCAATCATCAACAAGATTCGCCAGGTTGCGTCAACGCTTCTCAATGACGCGCCAGAACGCAAGGGTCCATTTGCAATCAAATCTGAAGAGGCCCTGTCACAACTCATTGGCGTGCTAATCAAGCTGGAAAGGACAGGCCCCGTCGCCAATAGATCCGCAGAGCCATTACAGATGACGGCACAGGATGAAGAGGAGGAGCTAAATCACTGGTCTGATCTCCGGGATTACCAACTCCGCTTCGCTGCACACGGCGGCTTCACGGGAAACATGTTGTCTGTTAGGGAAGATACGGAAGTATGAGTTTTCAATCGTTGGAGGTTTATCAATTTGTACTGCGATGCTATTTTCTTTCCCTTTTGCTTTTTTGGGGGGGAGGTGGAGTAATGGAGTTGGTCTGGAGTCTTGGGAGGTCTGGGGGGTTTGGGTTCTATGACCATAAAATATGTTTTTACAAAGCAACAAGCAGTGGTTGCTTGGGAGTGCCGTCTGGTCCGACTGTATGTACGAATATGAACTTCGGGGACAGAAACCTACTCAAAATGGCAATACAAATGGAGCATTGTTATGTCATAGCGCATAAGACTCAGTCTGTTCCTGGTGTCTCGCATCAAGCCACCCCTCATAAGCGATAAACCCAACTAGTAACCAGTTGACCAACCTGGAAAGGGGGGGGATCTGATGTGTTAGCAGCCATCCCAGCGTCGGAAATCAATCTCGGTGGTACCCACGTAACAATAGCAACCAGAGCGATCATGCCCCCGTGAGAAGCCACATTCCACGACCACACATCTTTATATGGTTGAGTAAAAGACCAACTCAGGAGGCCGAGACTGACAGCAGCCCCTGCTGCCAGGAAGAACTGAATGGGCAGTTGGGTGTGCAGAGGAATGCCGGATCGAAAGCTCATAACACGACGGTGGGAGAGTGTAGTAGCGATATTCCATGTCATAGACGCAATGGCCTGCGCAACGACGTCCAACCCAAAAGTCAGCTCCCCTCCAACATAAGTACAAAACGATTGATGGGGCGTGTAGGGAGGAGCATGAGAGGGAAATGAAAATGAAGATTGGGGGTTGGAAGCTTCTTTACAAGAGGCAGGCTATTCCACAGGACCCAATAGCACTTGTCCGTGACAGACGCCGAGTAACCACAGATTCTGCCCGTGGAGAACCACCAAATATTCATGACGAGTATTATGAAGGACACCACAATGGCCCAGGGCCGCACGATGGAGACGAGGAAGAAGTGCTGCCGGCGAGGTCGAGGGGGCGAGTACTGGGGCTGGTAATACACCGCGGGCTGGTGGTAGGCGCCCGGGGGAGGATACGAGTCCGGGACGTAGGCGGGGGCGGTTCGACCGTCGTAATGCGCCATGACGGCCGGTTGCGCATTCAGTCGCGGAGTTGCGGCGTCAGGATATGGGAAAGCTGGTGGCCATGAGCCAGGAGATGTTGGGAGCGAAGACTGCGTAATGAGATGGTTGCGACAGCCCTGGACAAATAACCTGGTCGTCACGAAACAAACCTGGACGAGACACACGTAGCAGGGGCTTGACGCCCAGCTTGTGGCCTACCCTACACTCCGCTCTACCTGGCTCATTGGCCATTCTTCCTCCAATCAGTAACTTCTGATGAAGAGAGACTGGAGTTTCACGGCTTTTCACGCTCCTATTGTTGGTTGTATTTTAAATTTGTCTGTGTCTGGTTGGTTCTTGTTGAAGCTCGCCCAAGTAACCAATGTTGCTAGTACACCGTCTCGGAGCGGTGGGTTTACACATCGGAGGACCACCCTTGAACACTGACTCGAGAAAGACTGCACATGGAACGCAAAACAACTCCTATCCCTGGAACTTTGGAATTTGTGATTCCAACCCATGGTAGCACAAAGAGGAATCTTACTCTGGCCAGCACCTCAAGGCACTATAAATCTTAGACATGGCCATTTATCATCTGCGCCTTCCTTTTCAACTTGGCAGCTCCCTAATCACGTGATCCCATCATAAGATTCGAAAAAAGCACTAGATTAGAGTATTTCCTTTTTGTTTTTCATATCTGCTCATTGATCGTCTCTATCGGTAAAGTTGATTTTCGTCTATGCGACCTAAGATCGATGCAGCCTTGTTTGCGCCTATGCTTATGTTCAATTCGAGGGACGGTATTACTAGCACGAGCCCTGCGAGCCTGAACGACATGCTGATCAAAAACACTAATGGGAACCAATTCGGTGAATGGAATTGCATTGAATCTAAGTTTGGGTCCTCTTCTTCCAACTAAAAGTCGGAGACTTTACTTGCTCATAAAGAGCCGATCATGGTTGACCTGACCAAGTGGTCAATGGTCCTCTATATCTCCCCGCATCCCTGCGCCAAAAAACTAAAAGATCTCTAGTAGTGAATACTGAAAAAGGAGTGACTCTGAATATGCGGAAAGAATGAGTGGCTCTGAGATCACAAGATATACCTCTACTCTAGACAATGCTTCATCTCCGATGTGACTCAAAATCGCTATTCAAGGATAGATCTGTGAACTGTAAAGAATGAATCTCCCCCCCGGCTTAATCTGGAAAAAGATATTGAAAAAAGATAGAGCTCGGACTATCGTCTAACTGGTCGACCAATCGAAAAAACTACGATACTTCTTCACGCAGAGAGCATCGAAGTCTCTGTGAAAAACACACATTACTTCTGCAGAGCCCTGAAGAGAGAATACCAAGTTAGAAAAGCGCGCAGCGGGGGGGAGGAGATGAGTCTCACTGTAAGGACTGGGTTATTTTGAACAAAACATAAACGAGCAGTGATCTGTCGCCCTTGGTTGTGGCTGGGTTCCCAATGGTGGTAGTTCAGCCTAATATGTGCTTGGGTTGGCGTTTATTCTTCCAGGGAGAGACAATGCCTCTTTCGCTGAGAGAGAGACTCTTGATCCTTGGGGACGAAGATACCGGTAAATTTCCGCTCCTAGAGGGCCTGAACCGGTTTGATCAGATGATCGGCCTCCTCATATGTGAGGGCAGCCCATTTCTTGGCGGCTTTCTTCATCTTGGTCTCGAGTGTGTCAAGGAACTTTGTGCGGAAGGGTCCTTGGGGAGGAAGGTCTGCAGGGGCAAGACCAAGCGCCTCACCATTGGAGTCCATGTCATTGACCATTTGCTGAATCGCGCGCTCAACTCCTGCTTCAACTCCAGCGTAGAAGATGTTACGCGCAGCAGTGTGGATGACAAGCTCACGCTCTTGAGCGGTCAGATTTGTCATGTCATTGTGCCTGATAGCGCTCCCGGGAACCTCGGGCAGCTTGGAAACGAATTCCATGTCTGCGGGTAGGTGGAGGGGGTGGACGCCAGTGATCATCATAATCTGATCAGGATTGAGTGGCTGCCAAGGGTTGGGGGCAGGAAGCTGGGATTTCCATGCAACCATCCCTGTTGATGATGTTGATGTTGCTTCCTGAGTCACGACAGGAACGTTTTGGACAGGTGTAGGCTGGACAGGTGCAGCCTTCTTTGCTGGAGCCTTTCGCGGCTTTGGGGCTTGGGCTTTCTGGGCCTTTGCGGGAGCTGTCTTGGAGGCTTTGGTTGTCTTGGTAGCCTTGGCATTGCTGGCCTCGGTGCTTCCAGTCTCAGCGGACAAGGTAGTGTTGGGAGGCACACCTTGGAAGGCTGTAGCGTTGGCAAAAGTCTGTCCGTTCTGAACAGGGTGAAAACCTTGCTGAGGTGCCATAGATGGCACTCCGTTGTTTGGGTAAGCCATAGGGGCTTGGAAGCCTGAAAAAGTTCCACCAGTGGCAGCAGGGCTCATATTGAATTGACCAGCCATGAAGTTGTTGGCAAGGTGAGCTGGATGAGGCATGCCCATGAAGTTGGGCTGCTGGCCGGGACCCATGCCCATGATTGGGAACTGTCCTGGCATCATGAAGGGATAACCAACACCGTTTGCGAATGGTGGCGTCTGGGCCGAAGTGGCAGAAGAACCAACAGGGCCTTGTCCTGGAAGAGAGGAGACGGAAGAGCCAAACAAAGCCTGTGTTGGGAGACCAGATGTAGTGACAGGCCCAGGGTTGGAGGCTTGTGGTTTTGCTACCGCTGCGTTGCTCTCCATCTCATGGTCTTCACAGAACTCGGATGATGTGCCACAGCCTGTGGGGAAGTGTCCATGTCCATAGCTCTGAGGGACAGATCCAGAAGCATTACTCATGCCAGCAGCTGCAGACATTTGAGGCATAACAGCTTGGAAGCTGCCTGTCTGGGGGTTGCTAACCGCTGCCCCATTGCCAGTCTGGTGGGTATCAGAGGAAGTCAAGTCAATCTGAGCAGAAGGCTGCACCTGCACGTCCGGCTGTGCTTGAAGGGGAGACTGAGTGGCAGCAGCCGTGGATTTCTTCTTGGGTGCAGCCTTTCGCCTCTGAGTGGTGGACGAAGGAACTGCAGGAGATGGCTGGGGCTGCGACTTGGCGTTGTTCTTGGATGATGCGCTTGCGGTGCTCCCATTCTGCGTGGTATTTGAAGAATTCGCAGGAGGCTGAGGCAGCGCAAGGGTAACAGCAGGCTTGGCTTGACTCTTGGGTGGTGCAGTTGCAATGTTCCCATTCTGCGGGGTGCTTGAAGAAGCTGGAGCAGGCTGAGGCAGAACGAGCCTGTGAGACTTGTCTTTTTTGGATGAATACGCTTTCGCACTTTGAGTAGTGGCTGACGCAGACGCAGGAGATGGCTGCGGCTGAGGAAGAGCGAGCGGGAAAGCAGGCTTTTCTTTGGATGGTGCAGTGATCCCATTTCCACTGCCAGCACTGTCACTTTGAGCGGTGGATGAAGGAACCGCACCAGCAGCTTCTGCTGGATCTTGAGACTCGGGCTCAGGACTTCCGAAAAGATCTTCATTCTCACCCATGCGCTCTTGGGTGAGAACTGGTGAGTAGCTTGAAGGAACCGAATCATGTTCTACCACAGCATCTTGAGAAAGGGCAAGATCAAAATGGGACTCGGGCTCAGTGCCACCAACAACGGCGTCAATCTCTTCCGTGCCCTGTTGTGTGAGGACCTGAGAGTGACTTGAAGGAACTTGATCATAGACGTTTGTCAGATCTTGAGAAACTGCGCTCCCACAAGCGGCTTGGTGTTTAGTGACGTCGAAAAGATAATCGATGTCTTCCTGGGTGATGGCGACCTCGGAGTGACATGCGGCATCCGAATCATGAGCTTCCACCGAGTCTTGAAAAACTGCGGGCTCACAAGCGGACAGGTTTTCAGCGGTGCCGAAAAGACACTTTGCGTTCTCTTGAGCGATGAAGTCCTCGAGCTTTGCAGGCACAGGAGTGGTTAGCATTTGTACCGTAGAAACTGCAATCCAGTTGGGAGGTGGCTTACCGGACTGAGATCAACAGGAGAAGACGAGTCCATTGCTTCGGCAAGGATAGGCCATTCATAGGTCTCCAGGAGATCGGGACCAAAGAACTCGGCTGAGAACGATGCGGATTCTGTAGTCATCTCCGCGTCGTCGTTCATCTGTCGAAACATGATGACGACTTTGAGTTGCTTTCAGGTGGCAGATCTTGCCAAATTGCAGGGTTTGATTTTGGAGTTTGCGATTGGAGTTGGATGGTTAGGATGGATGATGGAGGAAGAAAGGAAGAAGAGATGAGGGAGAAGGACGGAATGAGTCTTGGTTTTTCTCAGATGGATGCTCCTGTGGCTGCTCTAGGCATGGGAGACACCCGTCACTTGTATCGATACCGGGGTGGCTGGGTGTCTGTCGCTCTTCGAACTGAGAAAGTGGTGAGATGAGGATTTTCCTGATGCCGGGCAGATTTTGGAGCCGTAAATTGGCGACATTACATTTCATCCAAGCCTGAGTCAAACCAGGACACTACATTACATGCTTACAGCTTCATTAGAATGCAAGAGGCCGTTAATTTGCCCTGATAGAGCCGAATTTAGATGAATCAATTTGGATTTGGAGGAGAAGATGTTCAACACCGACCCAAGGCGCAACTCAGAATTCACTCACCTGAGGATAAAGTGAGAACTCGCTCCCCCAACCCCCCAACCACCTTGGATCACCCAACTCTCTTCTGGTAGAGAATTGCGTCATAGGGCGCAGTCGTCGTCGAAGTTATCTGGCCATCGTCGTCGCCTTCCCGTCTTCGTTGTTGACGCTCGCCGCCGCCGCCCCCAGGCTGTGCTCGCATCTGCCAACCCCCGTAGACATGCAGATAGGTCTATCCCAGGTTTATGCCGGGTACCATAGACGTATGTACTCAAATACAAACACATCTCCAGAGTTTGTTTAATGATGTGCTTTTAATATTATTCTTTTTGTTAAACGGCAACGCCCAACGTATATGTGAAAGGGACTAAAGCAGATAGAGACCAACCAATGAAAATACAATTTGCTACTGACCTGCCCCAGCGTGCAGTATCAGACACCTAGAAATACCCGTAGATGGTTCCCAAACCTGTAGAACGAGAGAACCATCTCTACTTTACGCTATTTCCTCCACCATTCTCTGCGCCCGTACCGCGTCTTTTTCTGTCTGGAAGACCTTCCCAACGGGTCCTTCCAACATCTCGGTAGGGACAGAGACGCGCGTACCGTTCTTTGAACTGACCCAGCGAACGAATACGGGACTAGCCTTTGGGCCGCTATCTTGGGGTGTGGCCTCACCACCTGCTGCGGCGGCGGCGGCGGCAGCCGCAGCAGCCTTCTTGTTGACCTTTGGTGCTTGCTTCTTCAGGAGCTTATTGATAGTTTCCATCTGCGACCCAGGGATGCCAATTAGGTTCAAGTTCAAAACGGCGGGATTTTTTTTAGAGAGAGATTTAAATGCAACACAAGCACGTACCTTTACTTCTTCGTTCCTCTTCTCGCTTAGATTCCTCCGGCGCCGGGCCATTTCTTGCCGCCGCATGGATAGCTCCTCAGCAGTGAATACCTTCTTTGCTTGCACCTCTGTAGGAAAGTTTCATTAGTTGGTATACGACCCCGGGACGGGATGAAAGGGAATGGTATCAGCTCACCATCAGATAGCTTCATAAATTCTTGCGGTCCATCCTCGAAGCGCGCACGTTGACGCTTGGTCATCTTGGCGAGGTCTAGCTCACCGTCTTGGCTGCCGTCCTCGTCATCGCTATCAAGGCCTTGGTCTTGTCCGTCAATCTGCGTGGCGCCTTCTTCATCAATCTCTTCGCCTTCAGCATCCTCGTCGGCCATTGTCTCATCCCCGAGCCCAAGCGTCTGTTCGGCACCATCACTATCTGCTGGATCGCTCAGGTCGCCATCGTCATCGTCGTCATCAATATCTTCTTCGTCTTCCTCTTCTTCTTCATCATCCTCATCATCGTCCGGTACAATGGCCCGAGCGGACGGTTTGGAGCTTGGGCGGGCGATCTTAATTGTTGAGCCTGCAGAAGGTGGCGCAACGTCCATATCCACGTCGCCCTCGGCATCTTCCCCCTCTGCGTCGACATCCATGTCCTCCTCCCCCTCAGCGTCCTCATCTTCGGGTTCTTCCATTTCATCATCCTCATCATCCTCGTCATCCGGGCTTGAATCGACCACGTAGCTCTTTTTGCCTCCGCGATCACGTTTCCCATGGATGATTTCTCCTCCTTCAAATGGATCCGAGCGGCGGGACCCGCCCCGCGTCGCTTGGCGAGCTCTTGAAGAGGGCACCTTGACAGTCAGGCTATCACCTGGCGACGCGGGGCCATCACGGGAGACCCGATGGGAGCGGCGAGATGACATGGCCGAATTGCTATCGCCTGGTGTATCTGAGTCAGCCCACCTGGCATGTACAGAAATGACCTCCTTGGCCTTTGCCGCAGCCGAGCGGCGTGGACGTAGAGACATGATATTGCTACGCAGTGCAAAATAGAGTGGTTTGTAGTTGGCGCTGATGCCTGCACGCTTGTGCTTTCTAGGCCTGTTGATGAAATGTGGCAGTTGTGCTTTCTTATTGACTTTGAGACGCAGAGTGTGGGCTGGAGGATGGTTGCAAATTGATAAAGGAGATGAAAAAAAAGATCAAGCAAACGGGAATGTTGGCAATCTGTCAAGGGGTGATGGCGTTGCTGAAAGTGGTCTACTCAGGCTAATGGCCCAATCAACACATTGGCTGAAACGGACCGTCGCAATAAGCCTTTAGAGGGGGTGAGCCGCAGATAGTCCAAGCCAACAGAAAAGGTAGACTCAGTACCAGCGACCTGCCTCGTGTAATTGGGATGGAGCGAGCAGAGGGCAAAAATGAAGGGGACGACGTTGAGCAGGGCTGGGGAGTTGCTGTGTGTGCGTTGCAGTGCCAGGGGGTGCAGCTCGTTGGTGCAAGGGCTGGTAGAGGGAGAGGTTGATTGGCGGTGGTATGAGAGAGAGGAGGAGGTTAGGTGTTGGGGACGGTCTTGCTCCAATGTAGAAGCGCGGCTGATGGAGATGTCTGCGTATGGATAGACGCACAGCGCTTGCTGCCAGAAACCAAAAGAGTGGCACAGAACGGCGTTGATGTCCAATCAGATGGTGTTTTGCGTCTCTTGTCTTGTGTCGTCCGTCTCCCTCACACCAAGCACCAAGGCCAAGCCGAACCAGGAAGCAACCACACACGTGTCGCACTGAGCATCGGCGCGGGCGGATCAGAGGCGAGTAGCAGCATTGCATGGACAGATAGACACTTGTCCAAGCCCGCACAGACTCGCAGGGCCTGCGGTTGCACTGGCCGACTGATGTCATCCTTGGATCGCCATGCCTTGCTTGCCCTGGCCACGGTCGCAGGGGAGCGAATGAGATTTTTGGGATGCAACAATGCACTGGCATAGACTCAGACGCCTCTCAACTTGCGCAGCCAATGCCGATGCCAATTATCTCTCGCTGCCGCCCGGTGCCAGCCGAACACTTGATGCTGCGCTCAACTCCATCGTGAATTATTTTCCTCTTCGTTTCTCCCGCCTCTGCAACTCATCGCTCTCCTCGCTGCCATTGATGTTTGCAAACAACGAGAGGAAAGCTCAGAAAATTGGAATTGTCCTTTTTCTTACAAAAAGAATTGAATGAATGACAAAAAAAAACAAAAACCAACAGCAAACCAAAATGAAAACAGAAGAAACTGGAGAATAGCAACAACAAGAGGAAGGAAACGGCAACTTACAGGATGACCTCGTCCTTAATAACGATGGACCTTCTCTTTACCTGGTACACGAACCAGCTGGAACTCGATGAAACCTTGTGAGATAAAGCCGGCGTAACAATACACCAACTGAGCCCGTTCGATATTATCTATAACACGCTCCCTTCGAAACCAGTAACAGACCGAGGCAGGGGCTCTACGACTGCAGGTAGGCGGACCAGGACGCAACAACGCCAATGAATCCTGCTCGCGCCAGTCCGAGGTCGGTGCAAATCAGCCACAAACTGTTGTGCCAAGAAACCTCAGGCCTGATTGAGGACTTGGTTATGCTCTTCACGGATCAGCGCCTGCTCCCTTGAGTGAAACGCTGAAATGCAGGGCCTAGCACTGGCTTGCTGAGAGATCCGCCTAGCCTTCAGCCACGAATGAATGGGCTCCGTAGAGCGGTTGGTCGATGAGCGGTGTGGCTGTCTCACTGCGGAAGGAGTTACAAAGGGTAGCAATGACGAGCGCCCCAGACCTAGATCCGACTCCTTGTTTTCCGATTGGAGTAGGTTTTTGAATCTCGACCATGGGACGAGCTCTGGCGCGCAACAGACAGACCGCGGCTCCGTCTCGCCTTCCGGCCCACACTTTCGGCAGATAGACATCGTTTAATACGCTGGAATAATGACTAAGCGACGGCGTATTGAACGGTCAGCCATCACGCCCCAGACAAATTGCCCGTGGTTGCATGTCCGAGCCTCGGCATATGATCCGTGATGGATGATTGGGAGTCGCGATCAATCTCGTCTCTTCCATCCACACCTTCCCGCCAATTCCCCCCTGGTCACGGCGCGCTATATCAACTCCATCAGGTATCCTACCGATAGCTGGGCTGAACACAAAAAGCATGACGGAAGAGGAGGAGAAGCCAGATTCTGGTATTCCAGAATGGCAGCGTTCCCAAGAAGATACGGAGGACAGCTCCACAACCACCAACGAGGATAGCACCACAACCACCGACGAGGACAGAATAAAGGTTGCGCGCCGATTCTTGGACGATGAGAAAATCAAGACTTCTCCCAGGGAGAGCAAGATCGCCTTTCTTAGGGGCAAGGGCATAGATGAAGCCGACATAAAAGAGCTCCTTGGGGAAGTAGAATTCTCACAGCCACTCGCTTCAGCCGTGAGTATCAAGGCCACCAACCTTCACATATAGCTGTACCTGTCGACTAACCGCGCGATTCTTGCTAGGCCGACGAGCCCTCTACATCCTCTCCTGTTTATTCATCTTCGGAATCCGTACTGTCAAACCGGGACCGCGCTCCCATTGTCACGTACCCCGAGTTCCTCACCCCGAAAGCCGAATCTTCCCCGCCACTCCTGACTAGAAACCGCCTCGTCATTATTTTGCAGCTTTTTGCGTTCATCTCAACCCTTGTGGTTGGATCGAGCCGCTTCATCCTCGGCCCGATGCTGGATCGCCTCACTGATTCTCGCATTGACCTGTATACATCCACAACCAAGGCCCTCGGCCCTTTGCTATCAAAGCTTGAGAAGTCGGTGTCACAGGTTCCCCCCCGAATTAAGACGCGCAACGATTCCGACCAGGATAGCGACTCTGACGACCCCAGCGAGATGTTCCACCACGATGTCGGTACCCAGACCTCTACCCCCCCTCCTTCTGTCTCGCCGACCTCCGTGGTGAAACCCTCCGAAGCCCAAGCGACCCGTCTGAAGAGCTTGACACAATCGTTGAAGGATCTCGAGGGTGGAATACGCTCACAGTCTGATGGCCTGGGGGATGTGAAAACCCTCCTCGACGTTTTCCGCGATGACCTGGATACATTGACCTACCCTACCACATCAGATTTGCCCGGGTATGACCTGCTATCGAGATCCCGGAAGTCAGAGCCAGAAGACGAGATTCGTAAAGTCAGAGATAGCATTCGGCGCGTTAAAGGCGTTTTGCTTAGCACAAGGAGCTTCCCTTCGTCTATTAGGTGACCTGTCTCTCTTATCGGTTCAATCACGCTCTAGATAGGTAGTCTAAGCATTTCCAAGATTTATTGTACAATTCATTCTGTCCTGGGCCGTCTATTTGAGGACCTACGTGATAGATTCACCAACCCATAATCTGAGAATCTATGCTTTTGCTTGTCTCAAAAGCAATGCTACAACCCCTCAATCCTACCAACTATTCTGAATCACGACTCGTCGTGTCTGCCTGCTTTGCATATTTAAATGCCTTCTTTGATCTGCAGCATAGAAAATATCTTCTTCCAAGATTCGACATATATGTGAGAGAAGCCCCTGTCTTCTTCCTGTTGGCGGGAGTACCACTCGTGTGTTGGAGGGAATCTGTACGTGAAGTTGCCGTCGGATGATGGTTGAGAGGCAGCTCGCATCACCTCCCTGTAGAGAAGGTTTTCGCATTGGCTTGGTCGGTCCAGTTGGCGTCCTGGTGGAGGGTGAAAGATGATGTTCAGTTTCTGGTCGGACTCATCCCTCTCCTCGTCGATTGTTGAAGGCTGTTTCTCTTCAACCGGCCCAGCGTTCTCCTCGACACACCGCCATCCTCTACCGGGCATTTTCTCCTTGGGCGAAGGAAGCCATGTTCTCAACTCATTTCCGAAAGCCTCTAGTGTGTCCAGGCACATATCTAGAGGATGGCTATATTCTGACTGGAAGCTCCTATCTCGGCCGGCCAGCCATACTTTGTCGAACGGTAGACTCGGGTTCTTTATCCGGTTCTCCTGAGCGACGAGCTTTATCAATTCTTGTTGAGCCTCGATGAGGTCGCGTTCGTAGATTCGCGGCCTATTAAGGAATTTTTTGCTGTATCCTGGGTCCCATATTAACAATTCTGTTGATCTCCAGGGCCGCTTATGGGGCTCCCTGGGACGGAAAATCGCTATCCATGGACGTCGTGCTGGATCTCGTATAGGGGTTCGATCTGCAACTGCTTCGTCTGATTTCCATGTATTGGTAACTGTATAGAAGAAACCTATGTATGTGTTCTTCGCTTTAGTGTCAATATTGAGAGTATTGAAGAACGAAAACCAATAGGAATAGGGAGCAAATTCCGAGCTTATATCCCCAAAGTGCCAGGGCATGTCCGTATGCCAGTAGGCGACGGGGCGATTGTAAATCAGTGCCAACGAATAACATCGTTGATTTAGCATTTGGAGATGAGATCTGATGGCAGATGCACTGTCATTTTCAATGAGTTGAAGAGCTCCCTTGGGGCCTGTCGGGGCACTTATAACCCCTTGAGGGTTGCTGACGGATGGTGTCTGGGAGATTGTCACATCGAGGAATTGGCTTGCCGCATCGAGAGCCGCCTCGCGAGCCACACCGGGCTGATCCTCGTCCGCGTCGTCCGCATATTCCAAAATTTTCATTTTCCTCGTCATTCGGGATACTTCGTTACAGTTTGATCCCAGTACGAAGAATCTGCTCGCCGTATCGAGGTAGTTGACGGTCCATGAACCGAACCAATTCACAAGGCTCTGTTCGTCACTCCCATCAATACTCTCAGGGGCAAATACAAGAAAGTTATTCGTGTCGCCTTCCTTCGCCGATTTTGCCACCAAGTCTTCAAGCTGCTGCCATAGATTCAGCCAGGCTTGAATATCTTGACTACGAACTCGGTATTGTCTAGTGACTGCTTCTCCAGTAGCCAGCTGCCGAACCCAGTCATTGACATCAGAACAAACCGCAAGCTTGGATCTATAGGATGTTCCAGTGGTAAGTAGATCATTCTTGAACCATCTGACAAAATCGTAGGCCTGTTGGGGTTGGGATAATATGAAGCTTGGCGTCATCATCAGTACTTTGTGTGAAGGGAGAATCCTATAGAGTATGATATCCCCCACTTGCGATTTCTGCACCGAAGACGGGAATCTGCAAAACTGTGCCAAAGCTTGCTGAAATATAAAAACTGCATAGTTTCCGTTGCGTCCGCTTTCTCGCATCATCTCCGCTATTTCTGGGAAAAGGCGTATCTTCGATATCACATCCTCATGGATGATAATAGTGCCGGTTCCTGTCCCACGAAATCTGGTCCAATCTCCCGGAATGGATGCTGAGTATACGTGCAGATCAATCTTTGTCGAAACTCTGAGCCAGGTGGAGATAAACCTGGCTTCTTGTACCCTGCTCGGTGTCGGAAAGGCGATGAAAACATTATGAGACTGTACGCTTTGGTTCAAACGTAGCTGGGGGACTAATCTGTTGGAATCAAGCTGTAGGAAATGACTCACACCCCGAGGAAGTGTCTGTGACTCCTGAGAAGTCTTCTTTGCAAATGAGTCCTTGTGCATGAGGGGTGTAGGTTCAAAAATGATAAACTTCAGTAAATTGCCTGCATTGTGACTGGGAACAAGTTCAAAGTCCCAATCTGTGCACATGGCGGGGTAAATAAGAATGCAGTATCTCTCTGAGTAACACATTACTCCTTTTGAAGCCATATTGAGGCGTTTTGCGAGATTCTCAAATTCGCTATGGCCGGTAGGACACAACAAACTGCCGGATGCCAAGTTCTGCCCCTGACGAAGATTTTGACTCTGAGAGCTAAAGTCCGGTGCAATACACACTTGGCCAAAAACTATTTGAGCACAGTGCATGAACTCAGAGAGCCAAGGATGCGAAGTCTGTTCTGGAATGTTTTTGAAAATGATGTCAATATGCTTGATGGATTTTGGTCCAAACATGCACCGTTTCGTGACGCTTCGAGTTTCTTTACTGGTCCAGGGCTGTGGACTAGCAACGTGGGTATTTCTTGGTGGTGTCGGTGGCCTGAAAATTGACACAGCTGCCTCCAGGGGACTATTATTGTCCTGATCTTCCTGTGGCAAGTGAGAGATACGAGAGTCTTCGAAGGCGAAGGGCTCAGTTTCTGATTCCACATATGTCGGTTCCTGATAAGTGACAGAATCATCAAAACGAACAGACTTCTTTCTTTTGAGCGTCCTTGGTCGAGGTGCAGTTTCATTATCTTGGCCTTTATAAGTAGGGCTTGTAGCTGATAGTGTTGGGGGGTTTTGTGACGCCTCAATCAAGTTTTTGGGCTTTGTGAAAGGTGGGATTTCCAAAGATCTTGTGGGCTGGCCGGTATCCAAGTCTCCAGCTCGAACTTTGGGATCAAGAGAAATGAGTCGTTTGGGTATTTGTGCAGGGGCAACGTCTTCTTTATTTCTCCTCCCCTGCTGGATAATTCTTTGTTGCCGAAGGTTGACAAGCTTAGGCTCCTTGGAAATGTCAGACGCAGCGTCAAGGAGAGTCGGACGCGCTTTTCTAGTGCTTCCACCTGCGAAAACATTCACTGGTACACCCCCACCCATGGTGTTGATGATCCGATTCCCCCGGGACTTGAGACCGGTAGGCTTGTCATTACCAGATCTGGATAAACTATTTGACCAACCTTCGGTGTTTGAAGTTGAGTTGTTCTTCTTACTCTGGGCTTGTTGACTATGTACCGAGTTTGGGATGGGTTTGGTAGGAGCAGAAGCAGCAGTAAGGGGTATCTTTGACGCCTTTGGCGTCAATTCTTTGGTTGGGTTTGGTGCTGCATCTGGTAGTGAGGATTCAACAGAGGCTAAGGGGAGGTTTGGGGCGGGCTCGGGACCAGGAGTTTGAGCATTGCCAGTGATAGGTGTGGAAGCAGGAGGATGTATCCTTTGTGATTCGTCAAAAGGTTTTTGAGGTCTTTGTTTATTGGCCATGTCATGATCAGGCTCGTTGATTCTCAAAGGGTTCACCTGCAGACTGTTCGATGCGGCGTTGTTGGGCCTTTCCCGATTACGGCCCTTCTCATCGTCACTGCCATCGTCATCATCGTCGTCTCCGCTCGACATGTCTTCCTCGCCTGAACTTTCATCCCTGGTTTCAAACTCGGGATAGAAATCCAGGGTCAGTTCCAGCAACTCATCCACGGGTTGTTCCCATGTGGTTGGTGCCAGCCCCATGCGCAACCGTTTCTCGTTGCGCTTCTCATGGCGGGCGTACTTTGCACGGAGCTGCTCCGACAGCGCGTTTCGCCAAATGTTGAGATCGAATCTCTCCTCCTCTCCACGCTCTTGTCTTGCCTTTCGTTTTCTCCAAGTTCGTAAGAGCTGTCCTTGAACGTGAGTCCTCGGCTCCCATGTTGCCTCAGCCAACGGGTATCCTGTCCATTCAACGAGCCAGTGCTTGACACCATTCATCCTTCCTTCCGCAATTATGCCTTCAGCTGTCCATTCTTCATCCGAGTTGTTTTCATCTGCGATCGTAGAGGTGAGTGAAAGATTGTCATCATCTACGGAATCCGCATCCAGCATCTCAACGTCATTAGGAGTGGAAACCATGGCTGTCGCCCGTGCTGAGGTAAAGCGCTCCCCAGAGTCTTATACCGACCTAGTCAACATAAGAATAAGAGAGGAGAAATAAGGCCGTCTAAGGCATTTGATCATGCGTGAGCAGAGCTTATGAGTTCGAAGCTGAGGACGAGAAGACCGGGAGAGAAAAACACTAAAATATTTCCTGTGGTAGGGAAATAGGACAATAAGCATCCAGGCAGAGAATTGAAATGTGTATGGTGGATTGTGGCACTTAGATGTCGACTGTTAGATTCCCAACACGCTCAGCACCCTGCACGCGCCTGCCTCTGTGGTGCATTATCGATAAACAAAACAGCCTAATCGGATCCTTATCGTCACACGTCGTCTAACGAAACTGGCGGGGTACTCCCATATCAATATTCGGATAGGTTTATGCATTCAAGAATGGCTCATTTTGGTATATGGCGGCTGTTTTATCGTAATCTATCGTCTATTATCATATTGTGAGGATAAAAGCGAATAGAAACTGGACCAGCACTGCCATCGTCGGCGCATGATGCCGTAGGTAGAGGACCTGTACTCCAGCATCTTCCCAGAGCAGAGCGCTAGTAACAACCCCACGGCCTTGGATGGCTCTTTGATAGGCCAACCACTCACCGACGAGGCGCAGGGTTCCATTCAACCTAATAATAGGAGATTCCTCCTTTGTCTGACGGCGTGGAAGTTTCAGGCTGCTACCCACTCTGCGGCAGATGTATTATCATTTTGTTTGTGTAGTGGCAGTAATACCAGGTACCTACCTTAGCTACCTACCTAGTCATAGCCAGGTATCTATGTATTTTGAGCATCCATCGGCAATCCGCCATCAATCCGCCATCAATGCTTGTGCCTGTTGGCCCAAGTGTCGGCTCATTACCAAACTGATCCTAGCTACTTGGCTCCAGGTCCCCGTCCAAGATCTTGGAAGGAAATAATACCCCGTTCAAACCTGGGCCAAAAAGAGGCAGAGATGCCTGTTTGAGAATATACTGCTTTATAGATAGTGCGCGTATTAGTACCTCGCTGGTTTAAACGGTGCTGCCTTGGACAGTTGTATGCACTACTAATTGTTCGTCCCTAGGTACAAGCAGGCAGCTCTTGTGGACGCAGCAGCAGCACGAAATTCGCTGTAACTGTAAAAATGGGCTGATAGGAGAGCTGTACCCATTTTGCTGCCCGCTTGTACTGCGAACCTCAAAGGTGGGGTATTCAAGCCTCTAAGTACTTCTACAGATAACGTCATGCGACTGATGAGGATGGTGTCGGGGCCCAAGAATATAGTCAGATTGGGATGCCGGGTGAGGCACTGTACATGAGTATTTTTGGTGCATTCCTTCCACTGCATCAAAGAGTTGACAGCTTGATCATGGTGCATGTGACGTTTGGAAACCAGTGCTGACAGAAGGTACCTAGGTCCGCTCAGTGCCAACGCGCTAGGTGGCATGTACCTTTGGTAGCAGGTGTCGCCTATCTACGGCTAACAGCCACGAGTCTTACGCCAGGACTTACGGCGCATCCCTCCTCTCTCCACATCCTCTCTCAAATGCCAGCTCTGCCTCTAACTATTCTGATCAAGAATCACAACTACACACAACCATTCAGATCAACTCCATCACCAAACAGCACACCCCAACATCAACATGGCCAACGACGAATACGATGTATGCTATCCCAATCTCCATGCCACGTGCTATTCTTTCGCTTTTGAGAGAGCTCCTGCTGACCTGCCTTCTCCGCTGCCCAGTTCCTGTTCAAAGGTGCGAAAGCAGAATCCCACCCCTGATTTCACAGTAGACCGCGTCGCCCCAGCGCATCACCGCTAATCATTCCCTCGTGTCTAGTCGTCCTCATCGGAGACTCTGGCGTCGGAAAATCTAACCTTTTGAGCCGATTTACCCGCAACGAGTTCAACATCGACTCCAAGTCCACCATCGGTGTCGAGTTCGCAACCCGCTCAATTCAGGTCGACTCCAAGACCATCAAAGCTCAGATTTGGGACACTGCTGGACAAGAGCGTTACCGTGCCATCACCTCCGCATACTACCGCGGTGCGGTTGGAGCCCTCCTCGTCTACGATATCAGCAAGCACCAGACCTACGAAAACGTGACGCGCTGGCTCAAGGAGCTTCGAGATCATGCCGATGCCAACATCGTCATTATGCTCGTCGGAAACAAGAGCGATTTGAGGCATCTGCGGGCGGTGCCAACCGAGGAAGCCAAGGCATTTGCCAGTATGTCACCGCCATTATCTGACGGATGCAACTGAAATTGTTAACCAGTGCTTGCTAGGCGAGAACCATCTATCGTTCATTGAAACCTCCGCCCTTGACGCCAGCAATGTCGAGCTAGCATTCCAGAATATCCTGACAGGTATGTTTGATACATGTGGCGCATTCACGTCATTTGCCGCTGACCCTGGATATCTACAGAGATCTACCGCATTGTCTCCAGCAAGGCTCTCGACAGCGGCGATGCACAGGCTACGATCAATGCCGGCATTACGTTGAGCAAGACTACTACTGACGACGATGCTTCGAAGGGCGGGAAATGCTGTTAAATCTGTCTTCTTTTTTCGGACGAATCGCAGGGCTATTGGGGGTAGACATTCATCAGGCGTCTCACCATGTTCCCGATATATTCTTTGTGCCATGTAATGAGGGAATTCGGCGCAGTTCGTTAGGGAGGACGAGATCACACTGTTTGTTTTTTATTTTCTTTGATATGAGAGGGCGCCAACCATTCCGACTTTCTTCTATTCGACAACATGCTCCAACAATAACCTGCGCGGGGGGGTTCGGATGCATGCAATGATCACTGCCTATCACCCTATACCTGACGTAGCTGAATGAATTCGTTAATGCCTGGTTTTACAACGCTTCGCGTGCATTCCCTTGATACTCAGCGTCCGCTTGCTCTAGGCAGCCATGAAGAAGACAGTACGTTGATGCCACATCTTACTTGATGCCTGGACCCCTAACTAGCACCGCCCCCGCCATCCGCCGACACAACGGAGTTCACCGTGAGGTACGTAAATCGGAGGTACTTCTGGGATGCAGACTACATACCTAATCAATGCCGCCAAGAGCATACATAATACTCGCAACAGAAAGATTCGACCAACCTTTGAGGGTGGCCTTGGAAGAACGGAAGAACGAGTTCCTGTTCAATTCCCTGGCATTTAGAAAGACACACATAGCGACAGGGGAAGTCAAATGTTGTGATTGTTGCTGCTCGGATGGTACCTTACCTGCCTTTGGAATGGTGGAGTCTCGCCGGGTACCCACAGCGATAAACTCTTATCGGTGCCTCCACTCAATTGTTTTTTTTCTTGGCCGCTCTCCCATCACCAGCTGCGATCTCAAATTCGCTGCGAACCACTTCAGATTATCTTTTGCCGTCAGCGACTCTGCGCCGTTAGTCGTGAGATTATTCCGACAAGTGTGTCGCAAACTATGGCAGCAGTATATAAGTCCCTGTCCAAGAAGGACAGCAAGAAATCCGTGACAACAGATGACAATGGCATCAAGAAGAACAAGCAACGAGTGCTGGTTCTGTCTTCTCGAGGCGTCACATTCCGGTATGATGTCTTCCTCCAAACCTTACTCATTTCACCTACCTAACATATGTAGACACCGCCATCTTCTGAACGATCTCGCTTCTATGCTCCCGCACGGCCGCAAGGATGCTAAGTTCGACTCCAAAAGCAAGCTTTACGAACTGAATAGCTTGTGCGAACTTTTCAATTGCAACAACTGTCTATTCTTCGAAGCGAGGAAAGGCCAGGATCTGTACTTGCATTGCTCGTCTGTACCTAACGGGCCAACCATCAAAGTTCGTAGTTCAACCCCCGAAACATTTTTTGGCCGACGCCAATTATACATTTCACTTGCTTCCCACATCATACCTCTTGTTGCTCAACTTTGCTCAACTTACTAACTTCTTCACAGTTTCACGTCCAAAATTGTGAGAAGCCATCGGCTGTTTACTTCGTACCACCCACCCAATGCTAACAGTCTATATTAGTGCACACAATGGAGGAACTTCATTTCACTGGCAATTGCCTCAAGGGGTCGCGACCGATTCTCTCATTCGATGCTGCCTTCGATAAACAGCCGCATCTGCAAGTCATTCGAGCGCAGTTCCAGCGTATATTCGGCGTTCCGCAAGGGGCTCGAAAGTCGAAACCCTTCATCGATCATGTTATGAGCTTCAGTGTTGTGGATGGGAAGATCTGGGTCAGGAACTATCAGATCAATGAGGAAGAGGCCTCGAAATTAAAGCCTGCCGAAGGCGAAGCCGACGCAACTAAGGATACCGACCTCAGCCTCATCGAAATCGGACCCAGATTCGTGCTCACTCCCATCTATATATCTGAGGGCTCTTTCGGAGGCCCGCTCATATTTTCCAACAAGAGTTTCGTTACGCCAAACCAAGTCCGATCGGATATGAGAAAATTGAAGGCTACCAAACACAATGGTAGATCGGAGCAAACGCGGGAGAGGCTTTCGAAGAAGGGAGATCTTGGTCTCCGATCAAACATTGGACACGAAAGGCAGCCAGACGAAACGGATACAAAGATGCTGTTTGCATAGGAGGTTTTTTGATACGAGTAAATATGCCGTCGGCGGAGGAGTTGGCGTTCGAAAAAACGGTCTCAAAATTGTATTGTATCCTGTTCAGTGTTCAATGTGCCTGGTGGCTTTACTCTACCTCCATACCTACCTACCTAGGTAACTAAACAAGCTTGTCGCTGGCAGTGGTGAGTGGCCGGCGAAATTTCGGCTAATTGATACTACTTCTTATCTACGACCTCCTATCTAAACCACATCATGTCAACATAGATCCCTTGCCATCATTGCTCCAAAACAGAAATCTTCTTTCTTAGACCATCAATCATGGCTGAGAGGGGTTTCCACGCTTCTTCCATAATGGACACTTTCAAACTACTTTCGCAGCATATTCCCTCTTCCGTTTCAAGCCCCAACGCTGGGGTGGTCGGACAGTAGGCATTTGGGAATTCGTGGTTTCTCGGTTTTACAGCCGTGGAGCCTCTAGGGAGTCACAGCCTCCAATTCTGCTACGTACGCGTAGTTATTAGCTGCTGATATCTTGTGTTGATCTCTCTCATTCTGGGAAGGGGTCTTCGCTCATAGCAAGCGCATTCATCTCACTATAACGCGTCGTTCAGCTTTCGGCGTTTGATTTTTTTACCCAGTTATCTCGAAGGTTTTAACCGCTCATTCTATCCATCTGTAAGTATGTTCCTGTCTCTCGCTTTCCATTTACTTACATTCGGTAGCCTGCGTATTCACTACTAGCCAGAGGGGCGCATAGCCTGCCCACCAGACGATTGCCACCCTCATATCTGGCCATTTTCAGTCTCAAACTGAACATTCCAGTCATTTACTGCAATTTGCGGCAGGGGCTATCATTGCTTACGCTTGATCGTCGAGGAAAACCTTACTTCGCTATGGAGTCAACCGTTGACCAGGCCCAAAGTCTCTTGGGCCTGCCCAGTGAGATTGTGCTCGACATTTATCAGCAGCTCGATGTAGGAAGTATCTATAAACTCTGTCTAGCAAGTCGATATTTCTATGAGCTCTTCATCAACAACAAGGCGACGGTGTTGTTACCGGTGATGGCACGTGAATTTAGTCCATTTCACGAACTTCTTCAGATTTACACAGCATCAGCGGATGACCTCATTTGCACTCAAGGAGCCGCTTATCAACCTCGTAAGGTTGTATTCAAGCGCTTCCAAGGGGATATTGGAATCCAGCTAGCACCGCCCCTGGCATTGCCCATGACCAACATCGACCACATCGCTCGTGGCTTCACTCAGATCGGCAAAGCTGATGTAGGGCCTCTAAATCAGAAGACACATGTATTGAAAGAATCGGACCTCGGTCCCATTATCAAGCATTGTCAGCTCGTTCGCAAGTGGGAGGAATTGTTTCCTCAGATGCGATGGTTCTACGATCCTGAGCGATGCCGTCTTCTGCGGCTACATGAGAAGGAGCGGTTTCGCAAGGCTCTATACCGCTGGTGGCTTTATGGGATTTACTTCCATGGAGATTTGCCTCGACCTCGAGTTGGCCTTCCAGAACCACATGTTGATGATATTCGGATCAGCCAGATGCGATATCATTCGACCAGTGATTTGTTAGAGTTAATGGATCTGGTGGAGACAATGAAGGATGTTGTTTTGCATTACATCTGCCCTCGTCTGGATCCCAATGATCAACATCACGTAAGTATAATAGCGTGATTTTCTACACAGGACCTGACTAATTGCTTTTTTTCCAAGTCATCTGATCAGCCGGCTCTGATTGACAGCGTTGACAGAGCGCAGTCATTGACCGATAGTTGGATGGACCAAAGCCATTGGAGTCGGATAGTAAAGACTTATGCCAAACTGGGGCCCAAAGATCTCATGTACTACTTTGAGAACATTTACAATTATCCAAGGAAGCGGCTCATCTCCGAGATACGTCTCCGGCACCCCAACTTTACGTTCGATCAAGAGTCGATCCAGATTGCCGTTCGTTGTGCACTGGATGAGAGGCAGTGGCTTGACAAGGTCCCAAGTCTGGCCGAGGACAGCGCTGGGGGGATCATTGATTTTGATGACGAAAGGGACGATGAGCGGCTGCTGTACGGCAAGGATGGGAGCCCTGACGGATTGCTTCCACCCGGCTCCAAATTTGTTCGATCACTCTCCCAGTATTCTCCCCGGGGTGACGATGGCTCGTGGCTCGAGGACCAGCATGCTCAAACATGGGCGGGCAGCCGGGTTGTCCCGCCCAGTCAGATGGTTTTGTAACGAAGGAATGGCGTGCTGAGAACGCCTTGCGCTGAGTGCACATTTTGTATCAGATCGAGGTGTGCCTCTAAGTGGCATGCTGCTGGCCGCCCCCTTTTCGACCACAAGGGAAATGCAGACCGTATCAAATTTTCAATTCGTGCAGCAGCAGAAGGGAGGGGATGAGACAGAGGTGTAGAGGATAGAATCATGCACATAGAAGGGAAATAGAAGGCCAATCTAGTCATGAAACAAGAAGTAGCAGACGTCCGATTACATGCTCACCGTGACAATGCCCTTTGCCTGGCTCTTTTCTCCTGGACGGTATTCTGTCTAAGAAGAGCACATCTACGTATTCACACATCTGACCACATCCAAGTGCTGTCCCGTAGGCGAGGTGAGGCGAGCTCAGGTTGGGGGTGATAATCTCTGGGAGCAGGTTCAGCGGCCAAACCCCGGAGCCAGCCACCACCACAACAGTCGACCCAATCTGGCGAATTCCCTTTTCCCGTCTTCTGCATCTGATCAATCGCACTCACTTACAGCCCAACCAATCCAACGCAGCGACTCAGCGCAGCATCGCGCAGCCTCGCAACCTCTGCCGATCCGCTGCCACGCCTTGTGGATTTTATTAGGTTCATGCCTGAGGTCAGTAGGCTACCTTGTTTCCCCCGTCGGCATGCATGCACCAGGCCTGAGTTTGCTGGCTTGTGTTGCACCGCCGCCAGTCCTCTGCTTCCCTGATCTGGCCTGTCTACTTTCTCAGTGTATCGGCCAATCCTCACCCGCATTTGCATGGGCGTGCCTTTCTCATCAATGTTGTTGTGGTCGCCGTTGTTGTCGCTGTTGCTGCCGTGCCGTTATTGTCCTTCTCACCTCGCTCAGACCCTCCTTGCGCTCACTTCAGCTTCGCAACCTTTTAGACCCTTTGTTCCAAAACTATGTAGTCCTGTCCCTGACTCCTGAAATAGGATCGCCGGCTCCCGAAAGCCCATTCAGCCAGCCAGCCAGTCAGAGTACTCTTCCAAGGCCAAGGGAGCATCAGCCTCTTCTCTCTGTCTCTTCTCAGGCCAGCCCAAGGCCACAATCCAGTACACCAACACCCACCACCAGCCCTTGTGCATATTGACACAACTGGCTTTGAGCTGAGGTTGTGCAGCCTGGGGTACCCTGCCGGCGGTCCCTAGGTCTACCTACAGGTAGCCGGACAAAGAAAGATAGACGGCCATGATGCAAGAGGCCGCAGCCATGGATGTTGATGACCATCCCATGAAGGATGCTGCCCACACCAATGGAGATAGCCAAGAGGACGTCAGCGCGAAGCGTTCCAATGAAGAGGACGATACCGTCTCTGAGTCAGGCAGTTCCGATGCCCAGATGGAGCCTGATGCCCAAGACTTGACGCTACAGCAACTACGTAGGAGAGGGCTTCTGCCCACAGGATGCTGCTACGATGTTCGCATGAAGATGCATATGAACGCCGACTTTAGCCCAAGCGCTCACCACCCTGAGGACCCTCGCCGGATCCACGAAATCTTCAAGGCCTTCAAAAGGGCAGGTCTAGTTTACAACGGGCCTGATGCTGATCTTCCTCGGATCCTGAAGGAGACACCAACCAGATATATGTGGCGGATTCCAGCTCGGAGCGCCACGCGAGAAGAGATCTGCCTGGCCCACTCGCCTGATCATCTTGCCTGGGTTGAGAATCTAGACAATCTCAGTACGGCTGAGCTGAGAGATCTCACCAAACGATACGATCAAGGCCGCGAGTCCCTCTACGTCGGAGGAATGTCTCATCCCGTTGCTCGTCTCTCAACAGGCGGTGCCATCGAAACGTGCAAGAGCGTGGTTGTTGGCAATGTCAAAAATGCATTTGCGGTCATCCGCCCACCTGGACACCATGCCGAGTTCGATACACCCATGGGCTTTTGCTTCTTCAATAACGTCCCTGTAGCTGTCAAGGTCTGCCAGCAAGACTACCCGGATGAGTGCCGCAAAGTGCTCATTCTGGACTGGGATGTGCACCACGGCAACGGAGTGCAGAATATATTTTATGATGATCCCAATGTACTTTACATATCACTTCATGTATATCAGAACGGCCATTTCTACCCTGGGAAGCCGCCAAACCCGATGACCCCAGACGGAGGCATTGAGCATTGCGGCATTGGTCCAGGACTTGGGAGGAATGTAAACATTGGCTGGCATGATCAAGGCATGGGGGACGGAGAATACATGGCGGCCTTTCAAAAGATCATCATGCCCATCGCACAAGAATTTGAGCCCGATTTGGTAGTCATCTCTGCCGGATTTGACGCTGCAGATGGAGACGAGCTCGGTGGCTGTTTCGTTACGCCTCCTTGCTATGCTCACATGACGCATATGCTCATGTCTCTTGCTAATGGCAAGTTAGCCGTGTGCCTCGAGGGCGGGTACAATCTGAAAGCCATATCGAACTCAGCTGTGGCTGTGGCCAAGACGCTCATGGGCGAGCCTCCGCCAAAGATGTCGATTCCCAAAATTAACAGGGAAGCCGCCAGAGTTCTTGCCAAGGTTCAAGCTCACCAAGCTCCCTACTGGGAATGCATGCGAGCCGGCGTAGTCAACGTCCCTGAAGTGCAAAACATGCGAGGCAGCCGCCTCCATGATGTGATCAGAAATGCCCAGCGGCAGATCCTGCAAGAGAAACATAACATGATCCCGCTGTACGTGCAGAGGGAGGTTTTGTACAAATCTTTTGAGAATCAGGTCTTGATCACACCTAATATCCAAGATTCAAAGAAGGTTCTGCTGATCATTCACGACCCGTAAGTTTGATCGCATACATGTCTAGTTGGAGCGAGTGTGTGGAAAGGGGGAGCAAGCGAAAGGGTTCTAACCAAGTTCCTTAGGCCCGAGTTGCTGGCACAGCACGATGCTATTGACACGACGATAGAACCTCACAACTCCTGGGTGGTAGGCTTCATTCTCACTTCTCATTTTCCCGCTGGGGACCGGTTGGGTTCATCGTACTGACAAATGTGCAAGGTTGATGGCGTAACCCAGTACATTGATTGGGCAGTACATGAGAAGTTTGGGGTGATGGACATCAACATACCAGCATACATTACTCAAGAAGAAGTATGACTCTCCCCTCCTTCTCTGCCACTCGACACCGCGCAGGTTGAATACTAAATCTGTTTGGCAGGACACAGAGTCATTCACCCCTGCGTCGCAGGAACGCGAGCTCAAGCAGCAGGTATCAGCCCTGGTCTGCTATCTCTGGGACAATTATCTCCAGATGTATGACTTTGAGGAATTAATCGTTATGGGCGTGGGTAATGCGTATCTTGGCGTCAAGGTGCTTCTCATAAACAGGGGTGAGCAACATCCCGATTCCTCCATCTCAGCATTGCCTGTAATTTCATCCTCGTTTGAGCTGAATGTTGCTAATTGTTCCGTTTCTCAGATTGCAAAGATAGGATCTCTGGCGTGGTCAATTTCGTTACGGGAAATCTCAGGCCAGTGAAGTCCGATGTAGACGAGAGGCTGTCTCCATGGTACAAGGAAAACTCTCGCGTCTACGTTGCTGGCAACCACGCATGCTGGTCAGACCCTGACCTGACACGCAAGGTCAACAAGCGCCGGTTCGGAACCGTAATTAAGAGCGACGCCTTTGGGTTGACCAAGATGATGGAAAGGCACTCGAAAGAGGTCCAAGAGTGGATCTCAGAGAGAGTGCGCAGTGAGGACGATGGACAGACTACGGAGGAAGAAGAAGACTAGACTGTGGCAGGGGGTACAGATTCTCTGCATGTTTGCTTTGGGAGACATTATTTCTTACTCCTCTCTGTTTACGAGATAACGAGGGGGGGATAGAGAGGATGGGGGTGGAGAAGATGGAGACGGATATGTGCTTGCTCTGTTCATCCTCTCGTGTTATCTGCAGTCTCTGAGGTCTATAGCGAAAGCCAGGAAGGACCGCGTACAGTTACGACATGGTTGGCAGGGCAAAATAAACTAATATCATGGCGGTGTATCCATATGCGTCACGGTGAAGAGCATCATCACCTGGAATTGGCAAAGAGCTGAAAATGTCTGCGTTAGTCTGTTTCCGGGCTGACTAGGGCCCATCTTTCAGGCATTGTGTTTGCATTACGTATGAGAAAGGCATCGTGAGACTGCCTCAACAGTATTGACGCAACAAAGCGCACACAGTGCAACGGCGAGAATCCTACCCTTGCAATTCAAGGGTCTTTGTTTCTGGATCGGCCAGGGGATGGCGTCATCGCGGCCTAGATGCTGGCTATTGGTGTCACTTGCACATCGGAAGCCAAGCCAGATCGAAACTTGAGATTTATTGGAACCGTTTATCGTGACACAGTCAGGAAGACAGAGACGTTAGAAAATACAGGGAAAGTGATACAGCCGCCGCCAAATAGTTCTGGCCGGAGCCAGCCGACCAGATCAACATACTGTAAAGCCACCATACAGGTATCTCTTGGTCACCGTGTCGCAAACAGTCAACTTAGCTTCAGGTAGACAGTCGCGACAAGATCATGTACTTACTCGCAACTATTAATGCAGGCGTGTTCAGTTTGACACATGAGAACCAGAGTAAACAGACAACTGCCAGCGCGGGATAACCGAAAGGTAAAGTTTCTCAACGCCATGTGATTCCTCCACTTCATTATCAACTCTGATCCTCTTCTAACCCCTATTTTTTTTTAAACGACGCCTCCCAATTCTTCACCGCTTTGAAGTCCACCGGTAGTATGTTGAGACTAGTCGGTCCAATCACCCTATATCCGAATTACAAGTTGGAAGCTCTCGTTCCTTTCACTGGTTGGGTTTACGCCCAATGTAATAATAGTCAAGTAATAATAAAATTCGATAATACTTTCCCAGGCGATATTGTTTCGCCAGGTCTTTGGCGGGATCAAAGCAACTCGTTAAACCCAACTAAATATAGTGTAGTCAATCTACGAGCCCAAGGCTGCTCGGCTTCTAAGAAATGTGGGCGGATAGGTTTCTCAATATCACATGAGGAGAAGGCCTGCTTTCTCCTTTGACTTTCCTTGCATATAGGTATTCCGAGGCAAGTCTTCTTTTCTTTCCTATGAATCCTCGGCCGAAAACATGATCAATTGTCTCCTTGAACGGTTACAAGCGGCAACAATCACCTAATGACAATATACGGTGCTTGGCGTGATCAACTTGTGGAATCTCGTAGATACGTAATGTGTCGGGTCATCCAACCAATCCTATAGCGATTTGATGAATACTACCTACTTCGCCACGGTTTGTGATTCCCGGCGTGCAGCTACGAGAACTTTAAAATATAAAACCGGACCCGGCAAACTGCTCGCCTGCTGCGCCCAAAAGAGTCTCGGCCTCGCCACACATTACGGCTGTTGGATACGAAGCGCTTGATGATGTAAGGGCGGTCGCTAGGCTTACCCCTGTTGCCGGTAGTACTGCCACAGGGGCAAGACGGCCTTGTCATCATTGTGCCGAGGGTAAGAAAGGGATCGCCGAACATGAGCACATGAGTTTGCAAGTTCCTGGATTCGTTCTATAGATCGATCCATGACATACAATTAGGTAATTGAGCGCAAGCGCCATCGCTCTATCCCGTTATAGTAGCAACAACATCATGACGTCGTGTTACGTGCAAGACAAGCCAGGAGAAAAAAAAACAAGGTCGCAATTGCATATCAAGCACGATAGATTGAATAGATGATTGAGTGAAAAATATAATTCCCATTTGGAATTGTCTCATTATGTCCATAAGCCAGCTAGCAAATGCTCTATAGTGGTAATATAACGGAAGAAGAAAAATCCCATACCCATCGTGTGAAAACTCCTGATAAACCCAATATGCCGTGCACACGCTCTTTCAATTTACTCGGCAGCACCGAAACAAGTCTCCATCAACAGATGGGTGATACGGTAGGGGTCAGCGTTGGAGGCGGGGCGGCGATCCTCGAAGTAGCCGTAGCCCTTAGTGCCGACCTCACGGGGAATGCGAATGGAGGCACCACGGTTGGCAACACCCCAGGAGAACTGGTCAATGGAGCCAGTCTCGTGGCGGCCAGTAAGACGGAGCTCGTTGTTCTCGCCGTAGACGGCAATGTGCTCCTTGTGACGGCCCTCAAGCTTCTTGATGGCAGCCTCAATGTGCTTCATGCCACCCTCAACACGCATTTCCTACCAATTTGTTAGTTATTATTTCTACCAGATAGATCGACATCTAGCGCTTAAAACTCACAGCCGTGCTAAAGTTACTATGCAACCCGGCACCGTTCCAATCTCCAGGGATGGGCTTGGGGTGGACAGACACCTTAGCGCCAAAGTCCTCGGCGACACGGTAGAGAATGAAGCGGGCGACCCAGAGGTGATCACCCATCTCGATACCCTCGCAGGGACCGACCTGGAATTCCCACTGGGCAGGCATGACCTCAGCGTTGGTGCCAGAGATGTTAATGCCGGCGTAGAGGCAGGCCTTGTAGTGGGCCTCAACAATGTCACGCTGGACGACCTTGCCGGTTCCAACACCGCAGTAGTAAGGGCCCTGGGGAGCAGGGAAACCACCAGCGGGCCAGCCGTAAGGGCGCTCGTCGTCGCCAAGCAGGGTGTACTCCTGCTCGAGACCGAACCAAGGCTTCCTCTCGGAGTGGAGGTCCATGACCTTCTTGCACTCGTGTCGGAAGTTGAACTTGTTGGGAGAACCATCGGCATCCCAGCACTCAGAGAGGACAAGGATGTTGGGAGAGCCGCGGAAAGGGTCAGGGAAGACCGCAACGGGTCTCAGGTAAACATCGGAGTTGTCGCCGGGAGCTTGGCCGGTAGATGAACCGTCGAAGTTCCAGATGGGGAGCTCATCGGGGGTGTAGGCCTTGTCGTCAAGGGTCTAAAGAACGCTGGTTAGGATCATGCCGGTCTCGGCGGGGCATTGGCTGTGTAAGACTCACCCTTGACTTGGAGCGGGTTGAACCCTCAGCATCGATCCAGATGTACTCGGCTATGATCTTGCCCTTCTGCTCGAGGCTGAGGTACTTCTTAAGGGTTTCCGTCCTGGAAACAAGGGGTTGTGATGAAGCCTATTGCATTGGATTAGCACACTCTGCTTGAGCGAGGGCAGCAGGGGGGCAACCAGTGCCGCAAGAATACTCACCATAGCTGCGGTATGTGTGGATTGGAAATGAATAACTAGGAGAGGGTGAAAGACGGGCAGAGAAAAAGACCACAATGGATGATCAAGTGGGATAAGGGGGAATTGGAGTTGAGAAGAGCCATCGGTAGAGAGGGGCGGTCCGTGGGCTTTTATCTACCTCGAGACTACGTGTGGCTGTAGTACAAAAAACTGGCTGGATGGCTATCGGCGGGGGATGCTCCTCCCGCATCTCCAGCCCCACTCATTCAACGAGATAAAGATAAGCAGGAAAAGAATGGGACTGGCTGGAGGCGGCCTCTGCAAGCCGTAGGCCCAGGGAGGGAGTGGGGTCGCCTTGCGCCCGAGATTGTGGTGGTGCGTCGGATTGGCTGGCTGAAGGCTGCCCAAGGATTGGTGCATGGATGGATATTGGGGGGTGATGCACAGCCAGGCCCTTGGCACTGTGCTCGACGGGCGGCCAAAGGGCGTCCCGAGTACAGTGTGCCGCGTCCCCACTGGCACGTAGAGTTACCTAATGGCCCCTCGGTGACCCTGTGGTAGGGTGCCGGTGACATGGGCGACCGTGTGCGGCACCCCCGTTGGGAGGGCGCTCCCGGCAGTGGACAGGTATCGGGTTGCCGGCCGTCAGGTAGCGACAGTACCTGTCCGCCGTACCGTAGGCCCCGCCGAGGTACAAGTACCTGTACCTCGTCCACTCCGCCACCTGCGCGCCAAATTTTCTCACCTCAAAGCGAAGTGCCAAAAATACACACCCGTAGCGGACTCCCCAGGCACCCAGACCTTCAGCGCGCGTTCAGGTGTCTCGCCCCCCCCGCTAGCACCTCAATCGAGACGAGGCTCAGCCAGTCATGGCCCCAAAGCTTCGCTCCAGAATGACTCGGCGCCGCTACGTTTGCGGCAATTTCACGCACGACATGTTCCGATTTACGTACAAGCTACCATGAGGGCCAAGGTCCCCTCGAATCACCGTCGGTCTCGTCTCTCCGAGGGAGGGTCCAGTTCATCGTAGGCGTCTCCGGCGACGCTCCGAAGCATTCTTATCAGCCAGATCAACAGCTGCCCGTAGCCTGTTTGGGCGGTTTCGTTCCCGGCTGCGTCCTGCACATACCTGTGCAAGAATTCGTGAATTCTGGAATACCTTGTGCATTGCATTACGTATGGGACCAGTGGAGTGGATGTAGGGATTGTCGTCGACGTGATGCGATGCATGTGTTGATGGAGCAGTACGTACTCGATGTACGGCCCGGGTCGCAGTGTCCGATGTCTTATCAGCACCACACCCGGGCCGTGGCTTGTCGTTGGTGACGGACGTTGATATTTGTTGATAGCTTCACTAACCAATACCTGGCCCCTTGTTTCCAATACAACTCTTCAAAATGGCGCTACCAGGATGTCAGTGTCCTATTCCCAGCCAGTGGCTCCCTTCGTCCCCGTGGGGAGCAGCTTTGGTGACCGTGCTGGCTATCTGCACATCTTTTTTAACCTACTTTTGACCTGGAGCACCACCCGACCCAAACCTATTAGTCGATTCAATGGGATAATCGCTATGCTACCGTAGCCGCCCCTGCCTGTAAAAACCTGCCGACGGGACATTGCTTTTCTCATGGGTATTACGAAATGGAAACCACATTTACCCAGTGGAATGAATCTCGCTCGGTCGTTCGGTAGTCTTGAAACCCTATTATTACCAAGTTCGCAACGAAAAGTTGATCTTCTGGGGAACCCGTTGACATGTCCCACTTAGAGCGACATCTTATCTTGTGTTCCTGATTGGTTCCCCACATTTCTTTGTAATTCGCTTTACTCAACGGTGTGTCGTTGTATTCAGACTGGACCGGCGGTCTACATCCATCCAGGTCTCGTGCCTTGCATTCGGAGTAAGCCGCGATATGTATGGAAGGGGGCCTGGAGCCCCCAACAAACTACCCGAATTAGTTTTCTTGCTGATCGCCCGTATTCTCGATTGCGAGAAAAAGCCGACAAGACATGAAATATATCGCCGCTCGAGCGAGGATTGCCGGAAGCTTGGTACCCAGCATGCCGAATCCTCGATGCCCAGCTCCGTGCCAGTGGCGCTAACCACGCAGACATGAATAAGCATCCAGCGATTGGTGCCTTTATCTTATCGCACGCAACCTCCGGCAACGGAAAAATGCAATCTCCGTCCACTTTTTTTTGGCCAGACCGCGTTTAGTGTTGATGCAGTATGAGTGCACGCCAACTCCATGTCACAACGGCGTGTAGAGGAGAACTTCACATGATATCAGCTGTGGCCTTTAGATAAGTCGCGACACAGGCCAGGTTCTCAGTATTAGCCATGGATCGTGATCGGGGAAGAAGGTCCGTGTACCACGTACTATTAGTCTGGCCTTCCCGGTAGTAGCTAACCATCTTGATCAGGTTCGATGACGGCGAAGTTGTCAGATATGGTGCCGGCGAGAGTTGGAGGCCCACGCCTAGAGGGCCAGCTGGGGATAGATCTCCTCCTCGACGCCCTAGAAGCCCGCCGAGGGAGGGAGACCGCGTGCGACCTCGAAGTCCACGTCCACGAAGTCCGGTCATGTCGGGCTCTGATAGTTACGTGCCAAACAGATACGCCCCTCGTCGACGATCACAGAGTAGACCTGGAGTAGGAGGCGACCGCTATCGCCGTGATAGATCGAGAGATCGCGAAAGTCCTCGTAGACGCGAACGAACCAGGTCCCCTATCAGACGCTCTCCACCCCGGCGCAGTATGTCTCGAAGAGGTACTCCTCGCAGAATATCACCAGTCCGATCAGATCGATTTGAACGGCCGAGATCTCCCCCTCGGCGCGAGTGGGAGCGCGATCGCGACCGTGATATGCGCCCAAGAGAGCGCGAGCCAGAACGACCTCGAGACTGGAATAGGGAACGAGATCGTTCACTTGACAGGGGCCGAGAGTACGACCGCCGTGGCGATAGACTCGATGAAAGGTACGCAGAATCTCATGAGGTCCGTCATGCAGAAACTCTTCTGACCATTCCTAGGAGGAGGTCACGCTCCCCGTACATTCGAGATCGGCGTGGGCCTAGTCCGCCAGGCAGAGGGTCATCACCTCCAGCTGGTAATCGGGCCATGAACTTTAGGCCGTCAAGGTCGCCCAGCCGCCGCGGGGATCAGTATCACACCTACCGACGCAGCTCTCCTATAGAATCAGCAGCCCCGCTACCTGCAGCATCACAACCAACATCCAGAAAATCTTCACCGCGGCCAGTCTCGAGTCGAGCCCGATCACCCTACCCTTCGAGCAATCATTCACCTTCACATTCTACATCAAACCGAATATCTGTTCCTAGAGAGATGCCTCGTTCTGGACCAAGTGAGCCGATCCCCGGTGTCAAGTCTCCTCCTCGCGGTCCCGCAGCCTTACGTCCCCCTACCGGCCCAGCAGCGAACCGCACTCTATCAGCCAATTCTACCCCTGCTCATACCTCAAAACACCCCCCGCCACATAATTCCCAGCCCAATCGAGCAGAGATGCCGAGTCCGACACAGCCACCAGCTGGGCCAAGGGGATATATACCACCCGCCAGAGGCGCATACGCCTCCCGAGGAAGGGGTGGAACTTGGAGCCAACCTACAGCCCGGCATCTATCCACCTCTGTCCCGTCCCCGTCAACCCCCACCGGACCTTCCAATGCTCCTACTGGGCCACGATCGTCATCGAATGGACCAACCTCATCAACTCCGATCCAGGCTCGACCGTTCAACCCACCCACAGGCCCGGCTGCTGGCCATGGCGGGGGACCACGCCAGACCCTCGCTCAGAGTTTGCTCGCTACGATGCCCCCGATTATTCCTGGTGGGAAACTGGACCCTTCCATGACGCCTCTGATTTTAGGAGTCACACGCGACCTAGAACCACATTTCAAGAAGCTGAGGGACGAAGAAGAGAAGTATCGTGAGGAGCTCCGCATAAAACAAGAGAGGGTGCGAAAAAGTCTGTACCATTGGGATCGTCTCGGGCGCGAAGCTAAAGCATGGGAGATGCGGAGTGATCTCAGTGAGAAGAGCATGAAAAACTTGGCTGGAGAGGGCATGGGTGGTGCAGCATTTTAGAAGAAAGAAAAGAGGGGCCTTCGATATGTCCTTGTTGAGCCTGTAAAACAAAACCCAGAAGAGCTCTATAACTACATCGTCAGGGTCGGGGTTATGTGACTGTATGATAATTTATTAGCTCCAGACAGAGATACCCGCTGCATTGCTTCATCCCGCATCATAGAGGGGGATTAATACTGAACCTATTATACACGCACGTGCCTCATCGGTGGTATAATTGGGGAAATATTATGCTCTTGAGTAATTGTTTATCTCAGCTACATGAGTCTCCATCTGCCTGTTTGTTCCTTTCTTTCGTTCATTCATTCATATTTTAGTTCTCTTTTTGCTTTTGCTTTTGGTTGAGAGCTTCATGTCTTTATCCTCGCACGCGTAGCCTACCGTGGCTTACTTCAGCCAGCTATGAATTGCGTGCGTAGTAGATATGTGTTAGGGTACCATCATCATCAATCATTTCCATACAAACACAGGGTCATCGACATCGCGGTCGCCAGCCCACTCTTCGCCAGAGGACTCATCATCATCATCATTAAAGTCCTCCATCCCATATTGGATCTCTCTCACTTTCTGGTTGTCGAACAAGATACTGACCGTGTTGCACAAACCTTGAACGAAGCCGATGTCGGCGCTGTGCGGCCTTTCATGACGCTCTTGATCATGGCCTGAGTCAGAGGGGCTTTCATCTTCATCTTCATCCTCATCAGTGTCTGGTTCTCGATACATGGGCTTCTTGCGATTCTCTCGGAGACGGCCGGACATGTCTGTATCCCCACGGCTCAAATCAGAGCCATTGGATGCGATTCTGACGCTTCGGCGTGACGGGGAAACGGGGTCTCTCGACTTCATACTTGTCGTCTTTGTATCACTAGACTGAGTGAACTGGACGTCGTTGGGTGGATGCCACGGACGAAGGAAAACCTTCTCCAACTTCTCACGCCATTCTTGACGCAGAGTTGCTCGTCTCTGCCACGGTATGTTCAACATGGTTTTGATTGCCAAATGACGGAGGTTCATCAGGTTAGGCGCACTGTCAACCAATGAGTTCAGAAACATCTCAGCCGCCTCCACACCCCAGTTCCGGACATGTTCAATCTCGATGACACGGAGACTCGACGGCCAGAGAGGCAACTGTGTTAGCTGCAACGCAGATTCATAGTTCGGGTCCGAATCATCTACTGATTCGTGATGGCGAAAGTAGGATAAATTCATGCGAAGCTCCTGGAGCTGAGGACATGTCTCGGCCAAGTCGGTCAGGAAAGCCAGATTCAAGGATTGGTTATGGAACAACGTCAAAGTACGAAGATGATGCCCGTGGGTCCGCAAGAAGGGGGCAAGGTCTTCCGACCTCACCTCCCAACAATTCACCAACTCAAAGTGAATAAGATCTTTCGGGAGTAGAGGTAAGAGGCGATGATTCATAACGGTGGCGGATTCAAAGGTCAGGGATTTGAGAGATTTCAATGCCGAAATCGCTTTTGCAATGGCTTCAATGTATGCACCGTCTTCCTGATACGTCTCAAAGTTCTTGGCCTCGTCATCCACTTTGATCTCGGCCTTATGAAGCGAGGGGACCTGGAAGTTGATAAAGCTGAGCTTAGTCAACTGTGCGAAAGACTCGCGTTGGTGGACACGCAACAGGTCACCAACGTCTTGAATAGCCCCCCCAAGAAGACGGCTGCTCCATTCCCAACTCTTGAGCTTAATAGCTGATTGAGTGTCCACCTGATGAAGGGTGTCGTCGACCATCGATACATCTCGGTCAAGGGCTCGGAACAGCTCCGCTGGGTAGTGCCAACGGATCGTTTTATCTAATTCGCGATATGGCGGCTGATCAAGTGGCGAATAGATGATGAGTTCCTTGAGCCGTCTCAAGGGCCGCACTGCTTTATCGATCATAGCCAGTGGGAAAGATTCGATGTTGATGTACATGAATTGCACCTTGGCTTGGTAGTTGAACAAGCAGTCTTGTGGTACTCTTTCCAGGAGGGAAATGAGTTTTTTTGCTTTGGCCGCAGATTTTATTGAGGGGCAACGATACAGAGCCGTCAGGGCAGGCTCCGAAAAGGCCTTGCAGACAGTTGCAGCATGCAACAACCAGCCAGTTTCAGCGCCCCATTCCCCAGCATGCAAGAAAATATCGACCCAAGCAGTATAGGGAACTCGAGGATCCCGCCAGTCCGGAATCCGCTCATTTGATATCTCCATGCCCAACTGCGGGCTGATCTTGAGACGTTTAGGTGTTGCCGATAGCTGCTGATGTTTCGAGGAAGCCAGGGGCCGTTTGGCGCGTTGTCGGGTTGGGGATTCGGGATTTGACCTTGCAAGGGCCCTCCTAGCCCTGGAGGATATCGATGGGCGGGTGTGGGATGAGAAATCCTTTACTCTTGGACTTGGCTTTGATGCTCGAAGCCGGCGTTCAGCAGTCCGGGCTGAACGCCTTCGACCAATACCGGAGGTGGTGTCATCAGCATCATCATTGTCGGTTATCGCATCGCTTGAGGCATCGGCATCGGAATCGCGGGAAGGTTCTGATTCATCAAACTCGTCTGGGTCGCTCGACTCCTCTTCAAGGTATGCGCTTCTGGTAGGCCGGCTGCGGCGAGGAAGATTGGCTCGAACGCCGGGCGAGGTTGCGGTGGTGGTTCGATTGGCAGCACGAGTGCGAACCATGATGAATGTGCGGGTCGGTGCGGTGAATATGCAGTGGTGATGGATAGAGAGCCCGGCTTGGCATTGTTTAGTCCTAAAGCTGAGTCGTTGCGCAGCATGCAAACGGACCTGTGAGGAGAGGCGCAAAGCGGCGTGAGCGGCCTTCACGATTTTTGAGTTTGCGCCAGCTTGAAGAAGGACAGAAGTGGACCAGATTGCCCCAGGGGAAAAAAACAAAGGAAGGAGAGGGCAAGCAAATACAGAAGGTGCGCACAGAGAAGAGCGCGGGAGATCAGAGGCTCCTCCAGGGTGCAGAGTTGTACGAAGAAAAGTTTGATCAGTGCATCAGGTCGACCTCACCTCACCCTGCCTCGACTTGAATGCCGGGTCCAAGTGACGTTGATGGAGCAGCAAATGACAGGCAGCCGGTACCGCGCACCAGGTACGTGCCTTACCTAAGGCAAAGTAGGGCGAGTTGCTTGGCCAGGAACCTCGCACGAAAGAGTGGGCTACGATCGCAGTCCACTCCACGCCCCGCCTCCGTGCTGCGTGCATTGCAGGGGTAGCAGGGGTTCGTTCATCACTTCTGTTGTAAGTAAGTAGGTACTGTAGACGGAGACACGCAGAGTCGAGGCTCTGTGCCTAATACGGCAGTCCCAGAACGTGCATGGCGCGTAGCAGTTCTTATGCTCGTCCACCAGCTTGCTTTGCCCGTACCGTGCATGCCATGACTCCATGTATTAGGCCAGGCGTGGTTCTATATACCTAATTACCTAGGTATGTATCTTCAATTCAAGGTCCCATACTTTAAATGGTTAGGTACATGCCTACCTACCGAAAGTGTAAGGTCCGCAGCAGACAACAACGCGATGGAGATGGTCTGGTCTGTCAAAGGAAAAGAAGGAAAGCAGAGGTTACACAGAGGCGCGCCCGACTGGATGGCTTGCATGTGCTGTGCAACGGAGCGAGCCGACCTACCTTGCTGCCCGCGCCTCGCCAGCAGCCAGCGCAAGGGGCAGGCCTGGCTGACTGGTGTTTTAATTTGGCTGCATCCAGGCCGCATGGATGGCTGTTTTAGAAGGGAACAGCGCCTTAGTCATCCCCAAGCACACCACTCAAGGCCGCACACACGCTAGCCGACGCGACTCGGCCGCCGCTAGGCTCAACTCAGCAGCAGCCCAGAGTGCGCAGCGCAACTCCTCTGGCCAGCACGCATCCTCACAACAACGCCCTCTAAAACTTTGATCTATACCATCCCGCCCATCCATGCATGGTCCCGTCTGGTCGCCCTTTGACACCAGCTAGTGCCTGCTTCCTCTGCTCACGCTCTCTGCGACTCCGGTTTCCCTTGTCCTGGCCTTGCACGTCGCCGTGGTCATCAGCGCCCTGGGCTTTGGTTGGCCGTCCCGTCTCAATTCATCGTCGCGTGCTCAGCGCAGCACCACATCCACCCGTCCGCCCCTTCACTCAGCCAGCCAGCCAGCCAGCCAGCCAGCCAGCCAGCCAGCCCTTCCCCCTCCTCCTCTCCCTCCTCCTCTGCCATTGACCACTTGTTGGCCCGCCGCTTCTCATAGCATTGGCATTCTTACTCGCTATTTGGTCCGCCTCAAGAATGTTTTTTTGAGCCTCCCAGAAGCGCTGCACCCGTGTCTTGATTTGGAAACCAACCATCAACAACACGCGCCTCGCTGCTACACGTGCTACGCCACCACTCGCTCATTCCTCCATTCTCAAGGCGCTGTGGTTGCTTCACACCCAGGTCACACACAAACCAACGAGGATTCATGCAGGCTGTCCTCCTGCTTGAGTCTGCATCCACTGCTTTGACAATGATCTCAGTATGAGTGCACGCTATAGCGATTTCATCAACGGTATATATCAACAAGGAAAACAAAGGGGGGGCCAGACGCCTTGTTCATCCCTCAACACATATAGACTCATACACGCTCACACCTCCCGCCCACCCACTCACTCACTCATTCATACCTACACGCGTCTGTCCGATAGGGCTCGGATCTTCTACCGTCTTTCATTATCCTCCTATTCAAAATGACCCCGGAAAGCCACCGGAGTCTCCCCTTTTTGAAGCGAAACTTCGCCCGCGCACTGCACAGCCTAACCAGCACGTTTGGGAGCCCTCAGGACAATGGGAGCGCAAGGGATATTCATGATGGTGAATCTCCGCGTAAGCGCCGGCGGCTGTCCTCGCCCAGCCTTGCCACCATTGATCATCTCCTCGCTGACCCCCGGGATTCCGAGCACGTGCCAGACCTTCGCATCGAGGTCCTCAAGTGCTGCCATGTCAGTTCGAAAACGGACAAATCCGGCTTCGCCTCTGTGGTCTCCTCCAGCATGAACACCAAGGCCATCTGCAGAATAACCATATCTGACGTCTCCTACGGCCGCGCCAGGGTTCTTCATGCTGAAGGCCAGCCATGCGAGGTCGTGACGTTCCAGAATTCGACAAGTCATCACCAAGTTCTGCGCATTCATCTCCCCCGTCCCTTCTATGTGTCGCGGAACAGTCTGCTCGTGCACAATGATTCTGCCCTTGGCTTGTCCGATGCGTACAGGATCTCTGTTGAGCTAGAGGCTGCAGATGCCACAACCTGGCCACCACTCGAAGGGCAGGATCTCGGCATCCCCGCCCACCTACTCGGCTCCTCCATGCCCGGCCAATGGGTATTTAACAGTCAATTTGACCAGCTTTTCGGCCGCCTCAAGTCGCGCGTCGATCTTCAGGCAGGCTTTGCTGTAGATGCACCGGCTCATGAAACCGAGTATCAAATGGACATTGATCTTCGCTGGACTACAGGCTTGAAATCAACAAAGGGGCTGAACAGTGACCCAAAGTGTCTAATTACCAACTCATTCGACCCTGAGATCCAACCTTTACTCAACGGCCAACTGAATCACTCGTCGCCAGAGTCAACCATCCACCTCCGGGACTCACTTTTATTCGAGCATGAAGATTATGACAATGAAGGAACAGGGCCCTCCCGCACATTGAGACATCGCGGGCCGGATAAAAATTATAACTTAAAGGCACTTAGCGACAAAGCCCATGGCACTCTAAGAAAGAGACGTATGAAAGAGGCATCCAAGTCCTGGGGTCTCAGCCAGATTCGCTATCTCTTACCCCCGGACCAACCTCTATGCCTTGATGGCTTCCGATGTATTTCATGCGGCATGCTTCATCGGTCTCTCAATCTACTGCATATCCATCTTCAATCTCACCACCCAGATCACGAATACAAACTAGAAACAACGAGTCAAGGGCCGCAGTTTCTTGTTTCATTCCGCACCACTCCAGCTCCCGTGGCTTCTAAAGACATGCAGATGGGCCCTGCGATCAAACCGTTCCATCTTGAAACGTTTGTCCGCAATGACCACTCTTGGCTCACCTCCCGCCTGGGGTCAGAGAGCAAGGATGACTTTTTCGCGTCAACAGACAGTACTCTTGTTCCTGACTCGTCCGATGTGCCGATTACTAAACCTAGAACCCGTACCAAGACGTTGCCCATCGTCGCTGCTGCTATCGAGCCGACTCCCAGAAGGAAGGTCGTGATACCAAATATAGGGCAGGAGTTCTATCACCCTGTGAGTAAACAGGTCTTGAAGCCTGGTGACGAAGTACTTCCTCCTCAAGCTGAAGAGAGATGGTTTCATCATAAGCACCGGGAAGGACTCAATGAGAATCAAGGTCTCGCTTCCACCCAGTTGGAGTATATCAAGGAATTTGACAGTGTGATGCGAGAATATCCGATTGGCGCAAAGGCATATTTCCCTCGAGCATGGCTCGATTTTGTGCAAAGAAAGGTCGGCTGGCTGCTGGATGCAAAACACCGAATGCTGGAGTTTTCGATGCATTGGAGTTACCTTCTCGCAACTGATCTGGTCACGGATTGCCATATAAAGGAGGCCATGGAATTTATTAAGGCTGAGAGAGAAAAGAGGCGCCGCTCATTATCGGCAGACACTCAGGAAGCAGGGGATCAAATTCGCGTCGCTCCGGCTGCTTCTACACCACCCCAAAATCTGATCTCGACCCGGAAAAGCGCAAGAGGCTGCGGTTCCTGTGAGCTACCAGTGTTGGGAAAGCTCGTAGTATGCTCCAACAAGGCATGTATTACCCTGCTAGAAGTAGCACTTAATGCCCCCGTTTCCCCGTTTCTTGTCTAACTCGAGGATTGTAGAAATGCTCACGACGCCTATATCATTCAGAGTGCGTCAAAAACTACCGCGAAGCACTCGCGAAGCCGTCTTGGTTTTGCCCAAGGTGCAGCTCTGCGGATGCATCCCTCTAGAAGAGGGCTCCTGTAGGCCGCCCTTCCCGAGGCCGGCTGGAGATTCCTGTCGGGAGTGGACCAGCCACATTTGGCCGTACTCGGGGAAATGGTCTATCTCCAAGTAACACAAGATTGAAGAAAGGCTCTTCGACAGCTGTATCTAAAGAACTTAAAACAGCTCGTCTCAATCGTGCACGGTGAGGGGGGCTAGAGGGCCAGAAAGAGCAACTGTAAACAAATATTCGGAGAGTGGAAAGTCTGGGGGGCTTTGCCACCCTCCTCCAAGCCATACACGTATTATATATTGACGATCCAAGCAGCGATTGTCTGCGAATGTGCCTTCCCAGACAAGCATTTGTCGGGTGGGATGTAGATAGCGATCCATCACAAATCCATTTTTTTTTCTCTACACAAGATCAGAAAGAGTTACATCGCAAAACTACTCAAATTCTTTTCAAGTTATGCATATTCACGTAATTGTTAAAACCCAAGGCAACGCGAGTGCTTCGGTTATTCAAAGAATAGAAGAAGTATTGGAAATCGACGAGGAACTATCAAGAACACGGATAGTATTAAATTCATAGTAAAGACTCTTTCTCTTGGTACATTGATTATCCTTATAACGCCGGCCAATAACCTCGAATGCTACGGACTCTGCCTTAATCTGAGACCTGCCGAAAAGAACAGCCTGAAAATCTAGGAAACTTGCTATCTGTACCTGCTCTCTCTCTGCTTCTCCTTGCGCTCGCTCTCTGTTCTCTGCCTTTTGCGGCTCTCCTCTGCGATCATCTGGCTGAGATCATCTTCGTGGGCCCATTTTGCCCCAAGGCCCTCATGTTTCTGCCCTTCATCATATCTGCGCGCCATATCCTCCCGACTCATTGCTCCCAGTGAATCAGGATCAAGGGCAACATCAATGTCGCCAGGCTTCTTGCGCTTGCGCCCGTCATTTCCTTCAGCGCCGAGCATCGCAGGCTTATTTGCAGACGAGAGGTCGTAACCATGGCCTGAACCGAAGAAACCACCAGACTGGACTTGGCGCTCAGGAAGTACGGTATAGGCAGAACGAGGGCCTGAGGACTCTTCTGTCTCATAACCTCGTCGCTCTTTGCGCAGATCCAGCTCTCCTGCAATCGATGTTTCCATTCCATGGCTCGGATACTCGGGATGTATAGTGCTGGCGTAGCCGCTCGGGGTCTCCAACCCACTTGGAGTCTCTAAGCCACTGGCGGAAGGCTCGTCGTCCTCCTCCTCCTCCTCGGAATCTTCATCCTCATCGTCGTCCTCCTCCTCAGATTCTTCCTCGCGGGGCTGCAACTCACCCCACAGAGTACGCTCAACTGGCTCCCCCAACGGCGGCTGGGGTACCTGTTGTTGGAGCTGCTGCTGCTGCTGTTGCTGTTGCTGTTGCTGCTGCGGCACGCCATTCTGAGTCGCCAACCCGAATACATCACCACCATAAAGTGGTCGGTTATACTCGTCCACAGGGGGCTTGCCCCAGCCTCCAGGATGGAATCCCCAAGAACCACCTGCAGGAGGTGGGGCATTGAGGCCAGGGATTTTCAGAGTCGGGTATGATGGAGGAGTACCGATTCTTTGTTGGTTGATTAGCCAAGGAGGTGGCGCGCCGGGAGGGATACCTAAAGCCTCCTTGGTTGCCTCGCTCAGTTCGCCTGGGCGGAAGTGTTGGTAATCCACTTCACTTTCTTTTCCCTCATAATAGACCTCTCCAAATCTAGTCAACTCTGGTTTTGTTTGAAATCGGAAAAAGGCGTCGTAGAGTTTTTGGTAATCGATGTCCAATTTCCCCATCTTCGGGGCGACGCGTTCTCTTTGTTTCTGTTTGAGAGATTGCTCCGCCTGCTTCTCCAGTACGGCATCGCGCATCTCTGTGATGCCAGTCTCGGCAATAAAGTTAGGTAATCGAAACGCTGCCTTCTCAATACCACGTTTGGAAGATAGGTATTCTCGCTTGAGAGACCAGTGGGCAGGTACGGGAACCACGTTGCGCTGTGCTTTAATCTGTACCAAAAGGCGAGGGTCAGATGAAGAAATGTCCTGCCATTCAACAACCTCCGGGATATTAACAAGGGCTTTCAGCTCAGCAACAGATAGCTTGTTGAGCTGCTTTCTCTTTTTCTTGGACAGTTTTGGCGGCCCTTCATTCGCACCATCTTCATCCGGAATATCATCATCATCGTTGAAAAACACACTGCCTTGGTTTCCAGCGTTTGCCTCTCTTGCGATTTCATTTTCCTCGGTATCGGCGCCGAATTTGCTGAATACGTCTTTGTACATAGCGAAAGCCGGGTCGTCATCGAGTTCGTCGTCCACGAGACCGTCAGCTGGTACCTGGGTTTTTGTGACTCCTCCGTCCTTGACACTAAGAGACTCAGACTTGGTGCTCGGTTCATCGGGAGTCGAATCCTGTTCTGGCGCGGTGCTCTGCTCAAGCTGCTGTCGTGACGGGTCAGCAAAATCCATGTCATGGAGATAGTCGGTGCGAACCTTTGGATCCTCGGCCTTTGACTTCTTCTGCTCTTTCTTCTTCGCCCTCCTCATCTGATTCTTGGTCATCTTTGCGGCCGCCATGATGAAGTAGAACTGCCGGACCAGTGCTTGGAAAACGAGGCTGGGTTGGAGGCTTGGGTGAAGAGTTGGAAAAGTGCGTAGAAGCCGATGAGACCTATGACCTTTCGTTTCGGATCTCTCATTCCGCTGCAGCAGGCGGTTCGCGATGGTGTTTGCGCTGCGCAACCAGGAAATGGGGGCTCCGGAAGGAATTTGATGGAGAGACTCTCTGTCGCATCACCACACTTCCGCACGACGCAGGTCGCGCGGACCTGAAATTTCACGATTGTCAAAAGGTGGAGCCAAGCGCGTGTCCGCGTCTGTCGGCAGAAATCCGGCAAGTGCAGTACAAGCAAGGTACTTAGCTGCATGCAAGCCCCTGAGACGGCCCCGAGATGATAAGGAGGTGATCGATTCGCGGGTACTTGGCCAGCACCCCATAGCGCTGGGAAAGAGAGCAAGGGTACCGCTACCAGCGAGACAGAGCCAATACCACCAATCAATCCCCTCCCAAAAGAAACGGTGCACCGTGCTGACTACTCCCGCCCCATTAATGTTTCGCATATCTTCAACCAAAGCGATTGATTACTGCCACCAGTCTGAGGCCATCGCCGTCCTTGTCACAACATCATCTTCTCAACCCACCCAGTTTGGTCCGAGTCACTTGATGCCGCACACAATGACAGGCAATCATCTCAAATAAACAGGGCTCCTGGAATTGCTATTTCTTCCTATCGATCGATCGATTGCGCACGCTTTTTCGAACAGATCCCCTTTAGTCGCTCGTCATCCAGACGAGCGCGTCCATTCGCTTCGCTTCCACCTCCCCCACTACCAGGACTCGCGCATTGCGACATTCATCCGCTCCGGATATCCTCAGTCCTACTCTAGAACCTCGCTCTTCAACCGCAATCCCTTCATCCTTGCCCAAGATGGAGAAGTTCCCAGACCATATCGACGCACCTCTTATGGCCAGCAACGCAGTGCCACCTCCTGGAAGCGTTCCCGACGCCAACGGCAGCACGATACAACATGCCCCCCCTGGTCGCTGGCTGTCAGTCCCTCGCAAAGAAAACGGCAGCGCAAGGTGGGGTTCGCCAAACGGCAGCGCAGGCCGCCACAGTCGGCAAAAGAGCTTAACAGATGCCTTCCGAACGATACGCTCGAGAAATGGTAGCATCAGCCAGAATGCACATGAACTTGCTGGTGCGCTGCGGGCGCCACTTTCCCCCAAGCTCGTGGTGAGTTTGACCTCCCTCCTCTCACCTCCCGAATCTTCAGAGCTCTGCTTGCAGTACCTTTCTCAAGCATTGGGGAGTCATTGTGCCCAGTAGCTAATCTCTCTCTGTCTTGATTAGGTTCTGTGCCTATTATGGTACTTCTCGTCGGCCCTCACCAATACCTCGTCAAAGTCAATTCTTAACGTCTTCAACATGCCTGCCACTTTGACGCTTGTCCAGTTCGCCTTCGTCTCGTCCCTCTGCATCTTCTTCGCAAAGCTGGCTACCATCTTTCCCGTCCTCCGAACCAAGATTGCTTCCTTAAAGCATCCCATCCGTGCTCCGACAAAGGAAGTTCTTCTCACCACCCTCCCTCTCGCCGCTTTCCAAATTGGGGGCCATCTACTTAGCTCCACGGCGACTTCCAAAATCCCCGTCTCTCTTGTTCATACGATCAAGGGACTATCACCGCTATTCACCGTTCTCGCGTATAGGTTTATTTACGATATTCGATACCCTCAGGCGACTTATCTATCTTTAATTCCTCTGACTGCAGGCGTCATGTTAGCCTGTTCAGGGAAGCACGGTTTCGGAGGACAATTCATCGGTATCCTCGAAGCCCTATTCGCCACAGTCATTTTTGTGACACAAAATATCTTCTCCAAGAAGCTCTTCAACGAGGCAGCAAGGGCCGAAGCCGAAGGTCTGGGCTCTCAACCAAAGAAGCTCGATAAACTCAATCTGCTCTGCTATTCCTCTGGCATGGCGTTTCTACTTACCCTCCCAATCTGGTTCTGGAGTGAAGGAATTGGACTGATTAGGGACTTTCTTCATGATGGCTCCCTGGATTTGAATGAAAGCCCCTCCTCGATGGACCACGGCCGACTCACTATGGAGTTCATCTTCAATGGAATATTCCATTTTGGACAGAATATCATGGCCTTTGTGCTTCTCTCTATGGTCTCACCTGTCACATATTCGGTTGCGAGTCTCCTCAAGCGCGTGTTTGTCATAGTAATGGCGATATTGTGGTTTCGAAATCCTACGACACCGATCCAGGCTGTCGGTATCGGGCTGACCTTCATTGGGCTATACCTCTACGATCGTACGAGTGAAAGCAACAAGGCAGATCGGAAAGTTCGCATGATGGCTGAAACGAAAGCAACTTCTCCACTGCTCCCACTCAACAGTACTCAAATTCGCCCGGGGAGCCGTCACGGCACCCCATCTGCAGGCACCAGTGCTCACCCCTATAATGATGGGTACTTTGGGTCTCTGTCCGGTGCGGAAGATTCGAAGAAGAACGATGAAACCTCAGGTCGAGGTCGAGCTCGTGGTCAAAGCAATGCCGCGTGGCTCCCACCCGGCACCAAGCAAGAGGAGACTTGGAAAATGGGTACGAGAGCTGTCGGTGTCTCGTAACGAATCCCACACGGTCGGCGTACTGATATGTGCAACCCTTCAATTCTGTCATTACTTTTTTTTCGATTTTTCACTTCCTTTTTTTTCTTTCAAAGTCTTCATTTGCCAATCGGATATACATAAGAGGCTTGAAAACATGATACATTAGACTGTGCGGTTGATCTCGGGATTGTTCCACGACTCACTGACATAAACGTGCATTTGAAGGTTGGATATTGGCGTTAATAGATGAACTAGGAAAGCCATTGATCGTGACGAGGAAATGGCCCATGATTGTTTGAATTTGGAGTTTTCCAGTGGAGGAACTTGGGTAGGAAGAGTATTATACAATATGAATTACTTATATTTGATTATATATGTTATTTCTGTGCTGTCAAGATGTCCTGAAGTATGCGTCCAACCAGTCGTAGGAAACCTATCTTTGTCCAATTGCGCTCACCGACTTAATGATATCGCGACCTTGGTCAGTCAATAAGCCACTCTTCGACCTCAACCCCTACACTACGGCCCACGCCTCGTACTACATCCCATCCAACATTTATCCGCCATTTTCCTCCTCTATCCATTACATCACCTCCAGTCCCAACGCGATGCAGCAGTCTCAGGCTTGTGAGGGTAGAGAGTGCCATTCCCACGTCACCATCCAAGCCCCCTTTCCCCAAGGTGGGATGATCGATCCATTCTAATCGGACAGCGGCGAAGATAGCAAGCATGCGTTCGAGCACAAACACATGAGCTCCCAGAAGTTTACGTGCAATCTTACGGTGTTTAGACGAAGATCCATTGGCTCGACGATTCCTACGGCCCAGAGAATGATGCGTAGAGAAAAGGGCTTGGTCGTGCCGGGTCGCATTGTGTGATGCCAGGTAGGCGCAAAGAAGAAGAATGCGGGCCGTCCTGGGCAGGAGGGCGGGGAGATCAGCTCCAGCCTTGCCCGTGATAGGACCTTGCCCGGGTCGTCTCGACACGATGCTAGGGTTGAGGACACTCTCGTCCTGAAAATGGGTTCTTCCTGCGACGAGCAATTTCGAAAACTCTGTGGGTTTATAGAGACCTTTTTCAACGGGGTCCACGAATCGGGGCCAGAGGGTATCACAGGCTCGCCGGAAGGCTGGCAATGATCGAGCGGCAGACCGAACAAGAGCGTCGTAGACAGCGGCACAGAATCGCGGCCATAGATCGGCGATGTCTTGTGAAGTGGTGTTGGCAACCGCGAGTTGCGGCGGTGTAAGCGAGAGGATACGGATGAGTTCTGTCTTCTCGTAGGGCGGGAAAAGGAGGCTTGGGGATGAAGGGGCGCGAAGGTGATCAGCGCGAGGTCCAGTCATGATGAAGACTACTGTGAGGCAGGGAATCTACGACAAGTCCTATAAGTAAACGCCAGCAATGTTGTATGGAAGAAAGGCTCACGATTTCGGATAATCTTGCCATGGCAGGTATCAAGGTAGAAGGCGCATCTCGGGCTCTGTCAAGTGCATCGAGAACTAGAACGAACCGAAAATCAGTCTCCTTGGTTTCATACTTGAGAGACTGGCACAGCTCGACATCCAATTGAGCCAATGTCTCGCACCGGGTGCGCTGTCTGTTGCTAGAAGCATCGAGGGATTCGGATACGGCAGAGACGATTGACTCGAATAGGTGCCTGGCAGTGATGCATTGGTCGGCGTGGACGACGCTGTATCGGAAAGTTGACACATGCCGGGCAATATTTCGAAGGAGTGAGGTTATCACGGCGGTTTTTCCAGTCGCTTCGACGCCGTGCACAGTAAGATTCCGGCAGGGGGCCGCGGAAGGCTATATGTAAGTTAGCTAATGCCGTCGAAGGGGGAGCTTCCGAGAGTATCTCACAGTGAGAAGTGTGGCTAGTGATCGTATCTGCCGTTCTCTGCAAGGAAACTTCTGAAGAACAGGGCCCAGAATCAGCTCATCCGGAAGCTGGTAGAGGGACGGGGCTGCCATGCTGCTGGTGGAATTCATTGGGTTGCGAATGTCACAGGTCGCGGATGCTCAGACGCGTCGAGTTGGAAATTGTAGGCAAGGTAAGTCTTATCTTATCGCTATGTGACTGCCACATACAAACAAGGGTGACTAAAACGCAACACACCCACCGGCGGTTATGTTCAGCGTGATATCGAACCCAGTCTACCAAATGATTGATATATTATTAAGACTTTAGTTATAGTACTCTGTTGTTTTCCGATTATTGTGATTACTATTGCCAACCAAGCAATAATACCATACCCATAACTTACTGTGCAATGTGTTTACCCTAGAGCGGTCTCTGTCCACCAGCACCCAATAGCCTCTTAGCCATCGATGTGAGGAAGGGTGATGCTCAAAAGGGAGACTTATCAAGCATTCACAACATGTATAGAACCCTTCCCTGGCCTAAATCTGTAAAGGATTTCTTGGCAGTAGATAAGTGATTGTATCTAACGGCAAGCCTACCTATGTCTAATCTCTATGTCTACTAATTAGAGCTGCAATCCATACATACTTGTCCACCACAGTTACAGTAGTACTGGGATGGGTGCCTGCCCGAATTTAGGAGCTATATGGTTCCATGTTGCATGATTGACTTGCCCATGTGCTTCTGATTTCCCATTTTGCATAACAAGATGGTTGGAGCCATCGGGCGATACTGTGCTAGCTTGAGTTACCTTAGGCTATGTACGCTCGGTCAAGGCGGCCTAAGAGTTAATCGTATCCTTAAATAGAACTGAACGGCTTTTAGATTATTTTTATTATGTTTTTTGGCCTGTAATATGCTCCCTTCTGTCAAGGCTCTTAATATAATCGAGGTGTAGCACTTATACGACAAACGTCCATTCACGGATTACATCAAGCTGCTACCCATCGACTTCTTCGATCGGACACTAATATTGGATCGTATATTCATACGCCCAAAGCCTGGCTATCATACCCAGGGAGGATGAAATTACACAAAGAAAATAATTAGAACCAGTCGTTCTATGAGATTGCGCAACAAGTTCTGTCAAGTCCCCCATTTAATACCCAGGGCCGTTGTATATTTGCTTTGATTTCCACACATGGGCTTTCAACTAAACCCCTCGGTTAAATGGCCAAGTAGCCTAGAACAAGCAGATACAGAAGTTACGGGACCTCAAGTTCGGAATCATAGTAATAGCTTGTTTGGAACTCATGAAAAGACCACCATACCTCAGAAGATCGAACGAGTATATCACCGGATGTTGTTTTGGTCTCAATACTTTATATTCGTCGTACATGATCGAGCGGATTAATACAAACATGGCTTGATGAGACCGTTGTGGGGTCATGCACGGCATTGTTGAGGGTGATGTGGAAGCGTTTACATCAGAACTTCACCAGGTTGAGGTAACGGATACAGTTTAACCTGCTCGTGAATTGTCTAGTTCTATATTTCATCGGCGAAATGAGATAGTGGCGGGGCTGCGTCGAAGAATGAAAGAACGGAAGAACTCGAGAGCCCAACTGGTGACCGGGCGAGTCAAAGCCACGAACCAGAGCTTCATACAAGTACGGCACAAGAGGATACAAGGGACATGTGTACTTGAAAAATCTTTACATTACGGATGTATCTTCAGAAGTATTTCGCTTAACCCCCCCGAGGAGCAGCATCATAGCCAGCTGGAATTTTATTACTGCTTATTCTTTAGACTAATAGTAGAATAATTTAGAAAGAAGAAGCCACGGCCACTTCATCGTAGCGTGGCATCAAGGTCCCCAAATTCCCAGTGAGTGAAGCAGAGTTGACTTAGGAGAGTTCGGTGGTTTAATTAGAGAGCCGGTTATTCTGGAAATGAATACCAGGAAGTCAAACAGGGCAAATGGCCTCGTGAATCAAATATGAGAAATCTAACTTCATATTAAGACTACCTAGCACCGTCATTCTTTATGATTCACACCCACAATAATTAGAAAAAATGGCATTTTTGCCAGTGGTGTTATACCTCGCGAACATGAAGAGAGGTTCCGTTCAAACGAAATGTAATAGTCTTCCCTTCTAGTAAAAATTGAATAGGGAGTCGAAGATGGGAACCAGTGCCCATAATTTGCCCCAGACTGGAGGTATTCAGACCGCTGGTCTCCTTCAGGTCAGCTCACTCCTCTAAATGGACGAATGGTAACCTGCGTATCTGGGCAACTCAGTTCGCTAAGCTACTAAGAGAAGCTTCTCACCTAATTCTATCTACTGTTTGCGGGCTACTTTCGGTGAACTGGCCTTGGCTGTGCCGCGCTCCTCGACTTCCACCTGGGACTTCGTGGTGGCCGATTGGGCTCCTTTCCTACATTCCTTCTTAGCCCATTCGTCGCCCCTATGAATGGCCCAGATCAGGCCCATTGCCGAGACTACCAAGAGGCCAGAAGATATCGTCGAGAACCACCCAACCCCGATGGCCTGAACAATTGGCAGAACTACTGCCGTCGACAGACATCCTGCTAGGTACCGCACAAAGAAGTTGGCCGCCGTCACCTCGGCGCTTTTATCTGGCATCACATCTAGGCAATAGGTGTTTAGCGACGGGAAGCAGAATAACTGCCCTACACCTTGGATGAACATCATGACCACTGGCACGGCGATGCCCCCAGCCTGTTTCTCTACCGTCCACCCATACACGAGAATGCAGGCGGGGATCAGACCGCCGACGAATGGCAGCGAAGACCGCAATCGATCCTCTGCGACCCTTGAGCCTCGTTTCTGGATCCAGCGTTTGACAGTCCAATCTGCCCAACGCCCTCCCATAAATGTTCCAACGATGTAACCAACACCAGGAGCTAGGTAGAAGAGACCTGCCAGTAGAGGAGTCTCAAGATGGAAACGTGGATTGAGGATATAGCGGATTGGAGTCAGTAAGCCATACATATTCCAGACGAGTGTCGAGCTTGCGCCTGCGACCAGGCAGAGATTCAAATGTTTGAACCATCGAAGTACACGGATCGGGTTGATCATGCCTAGAAGAGCCTTGGTTTTCTCACGTCTGGAGTAGCCCTTTAGGTCGTTAATCCGCTTGTGATGGATTGTCTCGGGGACAAGGAAGAAGACTCCCAAAAACCCCACACCAGCCAAGGCCGTTTGCAGCCAAAATATTGTTCTCCATGAAGAGTATGTGACAATGATACCGCCAAGAAAGGGCCCAAAAGCTGGTCCAAAAAGGGTACCGGACATGAACCAACCTATCGCGGTTCCGCGCTCTATGGGGCGGTAAATATCTCTATTGTTTCGTGAGCTCCGGATCACCAACAGTGTCAATGGGAGGAATTCTAGCGCTTCGCCATTTCTCTGAGTCAAGAATTGGGATCAGTTGCTTACCCCAAGCAGGCTGCGCCGATAAGTATGAAGGCTGTTCCTTCAAAGGCGGATAGGGCACGGAAAACAAAAAACAAAGCTATATTCGGAGCTAATGCTGTTCCAAGGCTAAGCAAAAAGAAGGCAATGGCAGTGATCAAGGTGATCTAGACAGTGTTAGTTTCCATCACGGCAGTCACGTCTCTCCGTGTGTCCTGGGTAGCAGGCAGAGATAACTCACAATTCGTCTACCAAAGACTTGGCTCATCGGGCCCCATACAACAGGTGAGAGACCCATGAAGACCATGTAACCAGCATTGCTGATATTAATTATGGAACCTGTTGTGTTGTATTCTCGGGCGACTTCCGGAGTTGCTGCTAGCACACTTGTGCTTGAGATGGGTGACAAGAAGGCACAAAATGACATCACAGCCAAGATGACAATCTTCTTCTTCCTCGACAGCCGGTCATAGACTTCGTCACCCACCTCCCGATACGGGTGGTCGTACTCTGTTCCGGCATGAGCTTCGAGAGCTTCAGGGCCTGACATACGAGAGGTCGTCCGGTACATGTTGTCTGCTGGAGCTGGTCTGATGGATTCTACCTCAATTGACGACTGGCGCAAGCTGTTCTGGGAGTTTCGTTGTGCCAACGACATTTCACGTTGAGGTTGCGTTGGTTGGGCCATGACTTATTACGTACTGGTTTTCAACGGACACTCTCGTGTGGTTCCGGATGGGTAAATACAGCAGTAGTTTCCTGACACATATGACTTCTCGTTACTGGTAAAAGCAGCGGAGCGAATGATTTTCCTTTCAGAGCTTTGAAGAAAGAGAGCATTGGGAGAGGACGGCCTTGAATGAATGATAAGACCGTCAATTTGATACGGATGCGAGAGGCTAGAAAGAAATATCCCTTCTACTCTAGAAAAGAGACCAATGGCAGTGATGGTAGGTCTACAAACAGCCTGACTAAGAGCAAGACGGCCCAGGACAGATGGACGTAGGCCAAGGCCCGTCTTCGCCTTTTATCAACAACGGCTGACTCGATAGACCGAGAATCGGTCTTGTCTGTCTCCACCGCCTGGCCTCTTTAGGGAATCGGAAGGCTATCATACTACATGCCGCCGCTTTTGGCCCGGGTTATGCCCGTAAGGTCATTGCTGGGAGATCTCCTGGGTTGTGGCGTCACCGAAGCCTTGATGGGTGATACTGCGATAATAGTTGGTAAGCCAAGTTTCAAAGAGCAAGGCCCTCATACTTGAAATGAGTGAACATTAGAATGCCATGGAGTCCCATTAGGAGAAGACGATGATCGTACAAGCCAGCAAACCTGGACAAGAGGCGTGTTGGCCAGCCGGATCGGTCAGGGAGTGGAGGCATTAGCGGGAGCCGATTTCCGACACCGTCCCGATTTCCCCGCGATATCGCGTCGGATATCCGCCGATGAACAGGGGTTGAAGGACGATGTCGGCGGAGGGATATCTAAATGTGAAAATTTAAGATATGCGACGGATTTTAGACGAGAGCAAACTTAGGAACCAGAACTATAGTGATATACTTGAACCATCTTGATCCTGTGCCAACAGGGCATCAAAGCACCCACCACTCACATAAGCTAGGCATAGAGATAAGATGTCTGCTTTTTCTCTTCACTAAGCTCCCCTTGAGGAATCTAGAGCGACCGCAACTACTAGGGTATCTACATGCTGCTGCTCAACAGTTTTCGGACCTGATGAACTATCGTGATATCCCGATCAAATTTACGAGTCAAAACCAATCGTATTGTGATATAGAAGATAAAGTGCAAAGTAAGAGCGCTTTTTCTACCCAAAAAGAGGCTTATCTAGGCTCAACAGAGAAGAGAGTAAATCATTTGCTACCACTTTGCACTTTGGAGTTCGGCCTGCTTATGAAGAACACTATCAATGAGACTTGGTGAACGCTCCACCATGATTTTGCCGACAAAGATTGGTTGAAGGGTTGTGTAAAGAACCAGTGGAGTCATAGACCAGTTTTCATCGCTATATTCTCTTTCAAATCATTCACATTATTTAAACTGCTCATACGGCTCATGATGCTAAGTTGATCCAGCTCGATCATGCTGTTTGCGATCTCGCCTGGACATTTTACTTAATTTTCCTTTCAATCTATTCGCTAGCAAGGACGGACGACTTGCGTTGGACGATACGAGAGCCCAGAATATCTTTTTATAATGTCTTTCTACATAAAACACGAAGGATAACTAGCGAAAATCATTCGTTTTGGAGATCTGAGTTGTTACGCTATACCGGTAATATGCGAGCCTATATACGAAAGATAAAGCAATAAGGGGGGAATTCAATGGAATCAGACCTGGGAAATGCACATCGTGTTCATCGACGTTACATCGTTAGCCTTGTGATAGCCTCCAACAGATGGTTAAACCTAGAGAAATTTTAATTGGATATATTAATGAGCTTAGCTGTATGCGAATAAATAATTTTGATGGAAGTGGCGGGTACATAATCTTCATGCAGTTATCTGAATCGTGTGGACGGTAAGGATGGGTTGGTGTTATGAACTCAGAGTCGTTGAGCTTAACCACCTAACTCTTACCTGTGGACATAATGAGTGCAGTTTGTTTAAAAGGCTCAAATATTCATGCAACTACGAACAACCTAATAGTGACTGATCTGACTAACAGAGAGGGAGGCTGCGGATCAGCCCATAAATCCTTGGTGGAGCAGCAAGTAGAGAAAGAATTGTAGTGTCATACTGCCCGATCCATACCATGCAATATTTCAATAAGGCGCTTAAAAGGGCCTCTTCTCGGAGCTATCGGTTGAGCTTTTCAAGTCCTTTGGTTGGCATGCTCACCGAAAGTCCCCTCCAAGGCCAAGGATAACATGGTTCGGCACATGTTTCTAGATGCAGCAACAATGTTTACCATGGTCTATCAAGTCCCTTAGTATATTGATTGATATTGGGTAATGTGAGTAGCTATTTCCAGAAATGTCTTTAAATGGTGTGCTCCAGGAGAATTGGCGTGTGGGCTTTTCTAAACTCTCAAATTGTTTCCGCCCTTTCCCTTATTCATAGCTGTCTTCTCCCCGAAGAGACCTAAAATCATTCGTGACTATGGACAAATATGCAGCTCTGTCTTTTTTCCAGCCCCATAATACCCGTCAGGCGATTCGGGATTGCCACGAGGGTAAGATTCCACCTATGTTGTGTGTCTTCTTTGGAATTGCGTCGATTCCTGTAAGCCGGCTTCTGGCCCCGTTTGGCTTCGATGCCATTTGGTTTGATTGGGAACACTCTGCGTGCAATGTCGAAACGATGACAACAGTGAGTGGGGGTTATCGTTCGCAGTTTCCGAGCTCCGCTGACTTTGATCGCCGGTAGATTGTTCACGACACCATATTCATGAGCGGGGGCCGCACCATCCCGTTTGTCCGGTAGGAAGAATCACTCACTCTTGAAGGAAACGATGGCGCTGAAAGGCTAACTGATACAGCGTCCCCGGCCACGACCAGTCATTGATTGCATACGCGATGGATGCTGGTGCTAGTATCATTGTCCCGCAAGTCGACACTGTTGAGCAGTGCAAGTTTGTCGTCTCGGCCACTAAATTTGGAGCCAAGAACAATGACACTCGCTCAGCACACCCGTTCCGTCTGCTACCCGGTATCAGTGACGGAGTGATGCTTGGCGATGACCTGCACCAGTCTTTGAATAATCAGGCAGCCGTCATGATCCAAATCGAGAGCCGGACAGGCATTGAAAACCTTGATAACATTCTCACCGAGTGCCCTGATGTTGACATGATCTTCCTCGGTGCCCTCGATGCCCGTGTTAGTATGAGTCTACCCGCCAACGTCGGCATAGATTGCTTCGAGCCCGAATGGGTTTCTGCACTGGACAAGTTCAAGGCTACTATGAAAAAGCATAACAAGGCCCTAGCCGTCTCCAAATTTGGAGAAGAAACATCAAGAAGCTAGAGCCCGGATATTCTATGCTTATTTTCCCTGCGGATGTCATCCACATCGCTGGTCTGTACCATAGTTTTGCGGCGGTCAAGAGACTCGTTGTGAAGACCTAGATATGCTAGGATTTATGCCCTTGAATTGTTCTATAAGTAGTACATTATACGCCGTGGTCAGTTCAGTGACAATTACTTCTCGTCGTGTCTCTACAGGCATTCCAAGTTCCTACTGTAGTGACAACCCCAAGGATCCCAGCCCGGATTTAGATCAAGGCCACGGTACCTGTAACTTTCTTCTGTCTGGTATCCTGTGACATTGTTGGGTTTTGGGCTCTGTCGTCCAACATCGCGAGATTGGCAGGCCTTGTGAGCAGACCTCGCCGACATCCGTCGCTCATTTCTTTAGTTACCTAGTTAGAGGTGTATTATACATTTTTCATATTATTGAGGGCCAGGGGCACTATTACTATCAATTAACTGAAATACTATAGCAGTGCATGGCTTGACTTGACTGTAGTCGACGGAGGCGCTCTGTCTCAGCTTCCAGCCAGAGGCAGATGGAGGCCAGCCACCGAAGCGTGGCTTGTCATACACTGAATTTCCGACGGTGAAGTTCCAGACTGGGTTAATATGACTGCCCTTACGTGTCGTAAGAGACGCTCTTGCTTGCGACCATGTACACAGCGCAGAGCCAAAATCTCCCGAAGCCTCTAATTCTGCGAAGGGCTGTATATAAATGACATTGTCTTATTTTCATCGTTTCAGAAGATATCGAAAGCCGTCTAGGTTGCAAATGGTGTTGCACTGTATTAGATATCACGACTTGAACGACCTCCATCATTCCAGAGACTCTATTCCAGCAGCTGCTCCAGCTTTCAAGTTGTACACCTTGAAACGCACTCTATCCAGGCGGCTTCCCAGACTGCTTGCCCAAAACTGGTCGCGGGCCGGTGGACAAAGGGCGCACCAGGTTCATGGCCAAGGTCGTGCGGCTGAGTTCGTACGGGTTGTCCGCGTGTATACCTGACCCCGGGATTAACTCTACTGATGTGCCCTTTTCTAAGCGCCCTGGCCACCACGCACAGGTACATACTGCCGGGCTGAATTCAACCACATACTGATCGCCTTGCACGTCAACAATCCGCGCAGGCAAATATAGCTGTGAGATTTCAGTCGTATGATAGCGGAATCGGAAATCGGGATACATGACGGGTGCGTTGATAGAGTCTCCTATGTGTAAACAGCGAAACGGCCGATATTTGGTATTGTCTTTCTTCCATGGTCGCCATAGTCTTCGGGTGCCTTTTCCAAGGCTTTCCAACATCTGCTCCGAAAACAAGCCGCCATAGTCGTCACTACTATCACTTTTGCTATCTTCAACTGGAGTGTCGGGCCCGGCTCGTGGTGCGATCTGGTCCCAGTCGACAAACTCGATCTCATCTTCGTCCAGTAGCGTAACTCTCGAATCGTACCAAAGCCCATCATATTCGACCTATGCAAATACACAATGTTTGAATTTAGCCACTGGATCCATGGACCTACATGCCTGTACTTTTTCGCCGATTTTTGGAGCTTGGTAGAAAACCTTCGACGGCCCCAATAAGATAAATTCCAGCTATGGTGTTGGAGCATCGGAGTGCACGTCACTCTGTAGCATTACGTCGAATGAAGCCTTGATTGGAGTCGTCGAAAATACGTATGTATTGGCTCCAGGTCCAGCTGTGATGCTATATCTTCCGCCAAAACAAGCCTTGAACTCTGCGATGTGAGTATCCGAGCTCCACCCATATCTTCCCGGCTCTAGCTCGCATCGGATGGATATTGGAGCGCCGATATAGATGCCCCCAGCTGGCCGTGTCTTCTTGAGCAGGCTTTTCTGCTCTATTTGGCCGGTTTGTAAGGAGCGAATGTGGATGTAAATATCGCTAGCCGTCATTAAGCAAGAAATGAGACTTTCACCACTTGCTTTTATAACGTCATCTTCGGTCATGATCCCCATTTCTGTCGGCGTTGGAACCGCCACAATTTGAGCAGATATCCAGTCTACATGGTGTGAAGGGGATTCTATAGATGCAGGCAGAGCGATATCGCCTGGTTCCCTCTCACATTCGACCAGGACTCCAAGTCCTGCATTCTCAAGGACCAGTTTTTTAAGCGTCTCCGACAACGACGAGCTTTGTCGCTAATTGGAGCAAGGCAATGTGGGCTCCTGTCAATAGACCGTGATATCACATAGCCTTTAGCTCTACTTACGCGTTCGGGAGGTGGAGATCCCAATGCATCTGCGGCTGGTCGTGATGGAGGGTAGCGGGCGGCACGGGAGCGATCCTCCCCGCATCGGCCTAGGCTAGAGGTAAGTTGATCATGCTGTTACTCCTCCTGATGCGTGTAGCACCGCTGTGTAATCCAAGTGAAGGACATAGTCCCTCATCCGAGCCCAGCCAGGCATTGAGTCTTCCCGACGTTGTACACGCTGGGCTGCTGACCCTGAAGAATTAGGCATTGCCTAGGTGGCGGGGTGGCTACGTAATGGCAACTCTCGGGAGATCAGGCTTCAATTGCGAACAAACTCCACGGGGGAAAAAAACCTTCATTGACGCTTCGGCAGCGACCCGACCCTAGCTCTCACCGTAGTGATCTCTACATCCACATTCAACCACCCGGCCTTAGCCATGGACGCCTGGCTCAACAAATCGGGGGCCGTGGGCTTGGGCGACCTCGATCTCGCCGACTTCCCAGAGACAGGGCGGGGTGTCAAGGCCCAGCGGCCGTTCAAGGAAGGCGAAAGGATTCTTACCATTCCAGCCAACTGTCTATGGACTGTCAAAGGCGCATATGCCGATCCGCTTTTCGGCCCGGTCCTTCAATCTGTTCAGCCGCCTCTGTCTGTCGATGATACACTGGCTTTGTATATCCTCTTTGTGCGGTCGCGCGTGGGCGACCCTGCATACGCGGAGCGTCAGTCCCATGTCGCTGTGCTGCCCAGCGAGTATACTCTGAGCATGTTTTTTACCGAAGAGGAGCTGAGAGTCTGCGCTGGCTCCTCGCTCTACACTCTCACTACGCAACTGAGAGGGAGAGTTGGGGACGACTATAAAAAACTACTCACCAGCGTATTCATGCGCCACCGTGACCTCTTTCCGCTGGACAAGTTTTCCTTTCAAGACGTAAGTTCGTGGCATGCATTATATCACGATGAACTGACACGTAGCTCTATTAGTACAAATGGGCACTCAGTTCGGTATGGAGTCGTAGTATGGACTTTGCCATATCTGAGGGCAACTCTGTTCGCCTCGTTGCCCCGTTTGCGGACATGCTGAACCACGCGCCTGATGCGAAGCAATGCCATGCCTACGATCTGTCAACCGGAAGTCTGTCCGTCCTTGCTTGCAGAGACTATCAAGTTGGAGACCAGGTACATTCCAAGCCTATAGTTGTTAGATTACAACTGACCTAAATTCCCTAGGTATTTATTTACTACGGCAGCATTGCGAATAGTCGTTTGCTACGGCTTTACGGCTTCGTCCTGCCTGGTAACCCCATTGACAATTATGAACTTGTCCTGCAGACAAGCTCTATGGCGCCGCTGTATGAGCAGAAACGAAGACTGTGGAAGCTCGCTGGCTTGGACGAGGTCTCGACTATTCCACTTACTCTCAAAACTCCTCTACCAGACAGCGTTCTTCGATACCTCCGAATTCAGAGGCTGGATGAGTCTGAACTGGGTGCTATGACGATGCAGATTGCGACAGAGTCATATAAGAAAATAAGTGATGAGAACGAATCGCAAATCCTGCAATTCCTGAGCGAGTCGATCGGAGCGCTGCTCGAGGGCTTCGAGATTCCTCTAGAAAAGCTCGAGGTGCAACTGGCGGAAGGTCTGTATTCTCCAGGGAGCAATGCCTGGGCTGCTGCCCATGTTAGCTTGGGCGAGCAGCGAGTGCTCAAGGCAGCTAAAGAGAAGACCGATGTCCTTCTGGCGTCCGTTGCAGATGGAAGCGCTTCGCTGCCTCCAACAAAACAGTGCGCAAACTGCAGCAGGGACTCTGAGGCTGCGAGGCTGATGGCCTGTGGCAAGTGCAGGGCTGTTAAGTATTGCGGGCGGGAGTGTCAGGTTGCACACTTCAAGGAACATAAGGCACTTTGTCGTTCGCTCTCTGCAAGAAAGGAAAGAGATATATAAACCAACGACTATAGCAATAGCCTGGTGTACGACGAGACGGAATGGGTTTCCGACGTGGACCGCGACAACAAGGAAAAGAGAAGGGTATTGCATAAGTCCTTTCAAAGTTGGTTTTCCAGAAACCGGCGACTACTTGGCCGTGAACCTCCCCGCTGACTGCATATATTGTCCTCGTGCCGGGGCCTGTTTACCGACAAAACATGCAAACTCGGATTACAAGCCCGTTGACGATCCAAGCAGAGATCCAGATGAGCTCGGATGCTGATCGAGGGATAGATGAAGTCGCTTAGTCCGATGCTCATTTACATCGTAGTCCAAGTCTTTATTCGTTGTCTCAGACTCTCTGCTCGATAGATAGTAGATAGTTGGCTTGGCTTCTGTAAATTCTACCCTCTTGCGCCTAAGCATGGGAATACTAGACGCCCCAAGAAGTTTGCGGGCTCCGACTTCAACCGATCGAAGCTCGCCATAGGCCCAGTCGACTAGCCTCTGCTGCCAATGCCTCAGTGCCGCCTGCTGCCAAGCTTCACTACTGTACCTCAACAAAAATGAAATACCGTCTGGCGATCACTGGCACGTAGAACGTCCGTTTTGGCTTTTTCATTCTTGGCGAGAATTTCATTCAAAATGTTCACAACTCTTCTCGCCTCCTTTCTTGTCTGTCGTCCCTCGGCCTGCTTAATAAGGCCTCAGCGTCCCTGACGGCCGGGTTAGTGTTTTGAAAGGCTCCTGTTGCCCTTTTCAATTGGTCCTTGAGTGCTGCTATTGTAAGGGATTGGGCGAAAAAGTCGAAGGGCAATGATATTTTCTCATCTTCACACTATATCACGTTTGCACCCATGGATCCCTCACCAACTCCGAACAAGTTTCCGAATTGCGCTTTCGACCATTCTTCCTTCATATGTTGCTGCTTTCTGTCAAGCGCCATGATATAATAGTCTAGCCACCAACATTGGTAGTATATGTATTCGATCCATATGCTCAAGGGGTCTTGCTTCAAGAGGTCTTGATGTAGTTGAAACGATTGGGTGAAGCCGTGGCTCTCCAAAGGATTTCGCACGGCGTCACAGTAGCCTTCAAATCCATCACAATCATGCTCTCGGCAAATAGCCCGGTTCTGCTCTCGTGTCTCCCATTTCCGCCACAGAGGCATAGGATCCTCCTCCATGTCCTCACACCAGTCTCTGTAATTCCCCTCTCTATAAAAGATCTTTGAGTTTCTATAAATCTCTTTGACGAATGACTGGTATCATGATGGTTCGGGCCACGATGATCACGCTGCCATATTCGGAAAGCGCTCACAATCCTTAAACTACAGAGAGAACGTCTGCCACCATTCCAAGGATTCCCCTCCGACCAGCCAAAGAGAATGAAGATTCTGATACTATGGGCTGCACATGCGGCTAGCGTCAGATCCTGGCTCGCTGTCGCTAATCTCGACCAGGCGTTGAATGGGATATAAAGGGCGGCCGCCAAGCTCAAGAATGAGTTTGTAGACCGCCTTCTCCCGCTCCCTGTTATTGTGATCTGGGTGGGTTTCAGGGCCTATGAATGGTTGTGGTTTCCCGGACCTCAACTGGCCAAGGCTAGAGCGTGTTCTTCGGAACCGGCGAGCGAGCTCGTGGCGCTCCTTCGTTATAGGAAGCGGAGGGGGGCAAGTGTTGCCTTTCGTTGCCGACTACGTACCACCAATTAAGTATTCGCCCCTCCATGGGGGTTTCGTTCACAGAAAGGGTGTAGTGTATACAGGAAGGGACTCACTCAAGTCTGTCGGCGAGTTGTTGCAGCTTTGACCTTGATGGGGGCCTCGAGTTGCCACCCAATCTGAAAGTTGGACGATACCAGTAGTATTCGGTTCTCCATGCATGGTTTAGAATGAGCTCTGTGAGCTCTTCGTCGGTTGATTTGACTAATTCCTCGAAGCAAAGAAGCCCCTCGGGGCCATGGGAGGCGGTCATCGTCCGTATCAGGAGGCTGGCGGCGTAAAATGAAAAAGTGAATATATAAAAAAATAAGTGTTGGTTGTTGGCGCAAGTTGAAACCATACGTGGAGAGGGTTAGTGGAGGGTTAAATAAACGGGCACAATAAGAAGATACTAGCAAGCAAACGCTAGGCTCTGGGTTGCCACGGAAAATAACAATGTTAGATAGAAGAGCGTGCCAGAAATTTTTAATGAAAGATGGCGGGCAGCAGCACACAAAGGTAGGGAGGTCGATGCTATATGGCGGACCTCCTTGGCAGATGGGCTCTGGCCTAGCTGTTTGACAGCAATGTACCAGTGTGAGATGCATTGGCACCCGATGCTAGTCGTCAGCCCTCATCCTTTTCATAGTTCCCATCCCTTTGTCCCTCTATCCCTTCCACTCTCTTTATCCTCATCCCATTCTACCTTCCCAACACTTTTCTCCTATGTAATGCATCTCCCTACCCTCATGCTTGGGCTGGAGTTCTCCAGCTTAGCTATCCCGCATCCTGCCCATTATTTGTCCATCAGTTCTGAGAAATTATCCAAGATGGGACAATTTAATGGTCCAGATGTTGTGGCCATATTACGGCCCAGCCAAGATTGTCCAGACTTGTTTCGGGATGTTGTCCGCGGTAACCGGCAGTGCAAGAATTCCACATGTAAACATAAAGACGAGGGAGATCATCTCTTGTTACGAAAGCTAACCAAATGTTCACACTTTAGTGATAATACCACTCCTCACGCAGCCAATAAAGCATTGTCTTCTTTTATAAGGTAGAATACTAGAACCCAAGATAGGTGGGAAGTATTTTTGATATTTCTAAATGCCATCAAACGAGTTCATCGGTAACCGCTATGGGGATAGGAAATATATAGTTGCTACTTAAATAAACACCATCTTATTGTCATCAATGTTTAATTAGGTATTACCAGAAGAGGCATTCCAGATAATAGCTTAGAGAGACATATCCAACATGAAAGAAGACAACATTGATCGCCGTCAGCCACCCTCGTGAGCAATATTCATCCGGATTATCCCGTGAGGCTATCAAGCTGTGCCTTTTTCTCGTTGTAGAGGTCCAGGTCGTATCCTGTGAGAACCATGCTTGGGTCAGAGTATCTCGGAGTATTAAAGATAATATTTATATTGTCTATAAGTATTTAATAGTTGTTAGCTACTGGCGTAGTGTTAGATAAATAATAGTATATGCTGGGAGAAGTAAAGATAAGCAGATACTAATTAGTAGGAGGCTTATAATTAAATAGCTATATAATAATAGATATCTTCTATTATATAGTATAACTAAGTATATATAAATAGATATTAGATTAATATTAAATCTATATTATTTCTAATAAAAATTTCCTATAATAGTAAATATATATTATACTTATAGAGATAAATTAATTTATAATTTTAAAAATAACTAATTTTTTATTTCTAAATATATATTTTTTTTTATTAGTTTTACTATAAATAAGAATATATTCTAAGATTAAATAATATATAATTTAATATATATTTTTTAAGAATATAATTAGTAATCTATATCTAAATCTTTAATATTATAAAATAAAATTAAAATTAAATTCTTTTAATCTAGATATAGATATTAATATCTTAAAAACTCTAATATTAGAAGCTATTTATATAGCTAAATATATAAATAATCTAACTATAACTATAGCTCCTAAGAGAGAAAGCTTATTATCTAATAATAATAACTATCTTTCTTTATTTTAATTAATTAATTAATTATATTATATTATTAATTAATTATTTAATTAATTAATTACTTAATTAATTAATTACTAAATATTTTAAATAATTATAATATTTAATATAAATATTCTAATCTTTTAAAGCTTATTTAATATTACTAATAAAATTCTTAAAGTAATAATAATTATTATTTAAAATAATTTAATATAACTATTTACTAACTATATTTATTATATATTTCTTTAATTAATTAAAAATCTACTTATAATAATAAAATTACTTTTAATAGTATAAGTTTAATAACTATATCTATTTAAATTATTATTTTACTATATAATCTACTACTAGTAATTATTATAGATATTTATAGAGAATTAAGATTAATTTAAGTAAATATTATATTTTAAAAATAATTACTTTTTTATATAAACTTATTATAATTTAATATATAATTTATAGTTTTAATATATTATATACTATATTAAATTAATAAGAATAGAAATAACTTAGTATTATTAAAAAGAACTATATATAGATAAATAGATATAAAATTAAAATATATCTCTATATAGATCTTAGGAACTTTATTATAATAAATATATATTATATTTATAGAGATAAATTAATATTAATTTCTAAATAATTATTTTTTTTATTTAGTAATAAAATCTTATTTAATACTAAGTTTAACTAATTCTAAATCTAAACTCTAATTAAAATTAATAGAATAAAATAAATAAAAAATTAATTAATTAGTAAGAACTATCTTTCTATAAATTATTTTAATATAATATATAATATATTAAAATTAAAGATAATATATTAGATTAGAATATATATATATAATAGAATAATTATTAATAAAATATAATTATAGCTCTTAATCTAGCTAATTTTTATTTCTAATAAGTATATTATTAATATCTAATAACTAGCTATTATAGTATAGAGATAGTTTAAATAGATATAATTACTAGATCTATTATACTATAAGTAGTTATATTATTATAAGAAACTCTCTAATTAATTAGAGATTTAAAAACTTAATATATTTAAAATATAGTTCTTTTAGTTACTAATTAATAATTATTATTATTCTTTAAAAAACTAGATTATTTATATTAATTTAGCTTTCTCTAATAGAAATTAATATATTAATTATATTTATTTTATTATTATAATTATTACTTATAGTAATTATTAATAATAAATACTTATAAGAAAATAATTATAATTAAAATAAATACTTACTAGATATAATTAATTAATTAAAATAAGTATAGAAAGATAATTATTATTAATAGATAATAAGTTTTCTCTCTTAGGAGTTATAACTATAACTAGATTTATATATCTAGCTATATAAATAGCTCCTATTATTAGAGTTTTTAAAATATTAATATCTATACTTAGAATAAAAATATATTTATTTTAATCTTTATTCTATAGAAAGTCTAGATATAGATTACTAATTTTATATATAAAAAAAACCCTATATAATAAATCTAATTATATATTATATCTAATCTTAAAATAATCTTATTTATAGCTAA